CATCTTCAGGCTGTTCCTATTACCAAACGACGTCCACGTCCGGAAATAACGCAATCCCTATGTCTATGACTATCTCTCTCTCTCTCTCTCTCTCACTCACATACCTCGACACTTCATCTTCCTCCTGCATCCAATTCAATATCTCTATCGCTTCACCCTCGTAAAGCCGGCACCTAGCAATCACCATCCTACAGAAGTGGCTGAAGATGCCCGTTAATTACAGTGACTTGTCTCCGCAACGATCTCCGCCTCATATTCACCTACACCAGTATCATATTTTCAGGTAAGCTGTAATACGGTAGGTCTAGAGAATATTGTTGGGGAGGCGCAGACATTTTTTCTAAAAAGCATGCTCTTCGGACAAAACTTTCATACAATGCATAGGTGTTTGCAAATTTATGCGTATCTGAGGACCGTAGAGTGGCATTTCCAAAATTTTAATTCTAGGCATCCGGAACTCTCATAAGCTTAATAATAGCTGTGCCAGGTCAAAATAGGCTAAAATTTTGGTATTGTATCCCTAAATTTGGTTCGGTTTTTTTTTTTAATTTTAATTTTCACAAATGCCACCTCATGGTGATGTATGTATGTATATAAGATGTTCAAAGGGTACCACAAAGTTTTTTTTTTATGTCAACTCTAAATTTGGGATTTACGAAAATTAAATTCGTCGCTGCACTTAGAGTTGTCGATGACATTGAAAATTGTTGGTTAACGTCAGTTGGATCAGCTGTCCAGGTATAAGACGGAAGAAGGTTAAACATGTAAAGCCTTGGATTAAATAGAGAATTATTTATAGGTAGACCCCTGTCGCTCTGAGGATCCCTTGCGCATCAAGGGTCTCCAAGGGGTGGTTGAATATAGCGACGTGGAGAAACGCAGATGGAAACCAGCATCTAATGCCTGGCAGGAGGACAATATATTCTCATCGGATTGCAGCCCCTATCCAATGTTAACCACCCCCGTAAAGATATAGGGGATGCAACCAATATCACGCTACGCCCGTGAAACTATTGGCAAATTGATGACGCTAATATAAGACGGTTACCAGGGCATTGACCGAGTCTATCTAAAATTTTGACGAAACTTGCTTTAGTGGAAAAAAAAAATAATATCGAGCTGATACGATTTTTTTTTTATTATTACAGATTATACAATACATATGACGGGAATGTGGAAAAAAAAGTGTCAAGGCTATCGACTTATTTTTTTTCTGCAATATCTTGAAGGCCAATCGTAGTATGTTCAACCTGCTGATAAGAATACGGTATGTATCAATGTTTATATAGATCGGACGATCTACGCTTATCGTATCTAATCAATATTGAATATTTGTTTTATCGTTTACGTCGATATTCTACATCGATTAAAATATATAAAAAAATTCAATAAAGGCTCGACAGAAACGATAACCGTACCGGAACTGCCCTTGACGTTCATTCACGAAGAACAACATAGAGAAATTGCCGATTAGAAAATTTTCACTTACTTTCACGATCCGACGTCAATTAGCTGGAATTGCAACCTGAAACTGAAATCTAATGTATATCAAATAAAATTGCAAAATTTCAAAATCCAAAAATAATTTCATTCTACTTCGATAAGCACAGTCAAGGTTCGTATTCAAGTACCTTCTTTATGTACAGTCAATGTAAAAACGTATATGATATTTTACTGCAGCTTAAAAGTGTCAATCTCCCGTCAGATCGATATCATCTTATCGCCAGTGACGAGGAATTTGAAATGAAAAAATTTTTTACAACAAAACTTTATCACTCCTTTAGTCATAAATTACACGTTACAGATTTCCATAACTTTTTCTTTCCTCTATTACTTAACCGTACGTGTGTCTCTCTCTGTTTTAGGGCGATTTTTGACTTTTTTTTTATTTCTAATTTTGACTTCACTGTAATAAATATTATTTATTCCGTCCCTCTCCATCGTCCTTATACAGTGATTAGCCCGATAACCGTCTTTTCCTGTTTTCCTACATTCGCGAAAAAAAGACACACTCGACTCGGCTAATTATGCAATCTAAAAAGGAAGCTTTCGTCTGCATATCAAAGTCACATATATCTTCAGGTTACCATCGCTACGTGCATTTCCATCGCCACGTGTATATCCGGCCGTATGGCAATTTGACACGGTGAGAATTTCAAACGCGCCCTACATAGAGTCACCTACATATATTATAATCGCAAACCTAATCATATCCAATATCAGACGATACGTGAAGAAACTGAAGTATGAATGACGTAATTAAAATTACTGAATCCTGAGAAACTAAGAAATTCATTGATATTACGTATTATTACGTATCAACAAATAGTAGAAATCGAGTCTACGAAAGATTCAGTGTATACCCTGTAATTCAGGGGTAGAAAACAGTCTAACGGAGAGCCACGTTGAACCAATTCACTTTTTTCTTCGCCTGCCCTTCTTTATCGTCCCTTTTGTTCGGTCGCACGTGATATCGGACTACGTGGCTCAAATAATTACCTCGGAACAATCCTGATTTTCTTGGTGCGATAAGACGAGAGAAAACGATAGAGTAAAAGTGAAAAGGGACGTTTTCACTCAGACACTGTTACCGTCCGCCCTGACGATATTAACTGTTTCAACGTGAAACTGTGCGTGATTGTACGTATTTTTTTGGGGGTGGTCAAATATGTTGTTATCGGAACACTTGACACGTGTTCGTAAACAAAGTCACACGTTGATAAACAATGTTCATGTCGATTTTGCAAAATTCCTTGGTACTCCCGTTATTATTTATAATCGTACAAATTATGCAAGTGAGTTTACGTGCGATAAATGTTAATACGGCTGATTCTACGAATTTCTTATCGTCGGTTCTCAACACGAATAGAAAAAAAAAAAGGTGCTGGGAATCAAGCACCGTCACGGATAAAAACCTGTCACGATGATAATGAATCCCTAGCCACTGACACGGGTACAAATTTCCTTTGGATTAATTTTTTTTTTTTTTTTTTTTTTTTTTTTTTTTTTTTTTTTTTTTTTTTTTTTTTTTTTTTTTTTTTTTTTTTTTTTTTTTCGAAAAAAATTTCCACGGTTGTTTGTTGCCGCCATGATTTTTTGACAAGTCGAAGATACGTAGATCAATAATACGAAAGCTTGATGAGCATTAATTAACGGAGACAGATTCAAAGTGACGGAGGCATCCACCCCCCTTGCCTTGACGTACTTAAGCGTGTGTATATAGTAATCAAAAGTACGAGGTCACGCGAAGGCGCCACTGCACGTGGTAATTTGTCTGGACAAAATAATTTTTTTTTTTTTTGAAAAATGAATATTTAGAATCTGAAAAGAAAAGGCAGACTCGTTTGATCGATAGACACCCGAAACTAATTGACGGGCAAGGGATGCTGCGATTACATAGGGGAGAGATATGAAACGCGCATTTGTTAATTTTATTATTATTAGGTCAATATCAATATACTTAGGTCAATAATACGAAAGCTTAATGAGTATTAATTAACGGAGACAGACTCAAAGTGACGAAGGCATCCACCCCCTTTGCCTTGACGTACTTAAGCGCGTGTGTATATAGTAATCAAAAGTACGAGGTCACGCGAAGGCGCCACTGCACGTGGTAATTTGTCTGGACAAAATAATTTTTTTTTTTTTGAAAAATGAATATTTAGAATCTGAAAAGAAAAGGCAGACTCGTTTGATCGATAGACACCCGAAACTAATTGACGGGCAAGGGATGCTGCGATTACATAGGGGAGAGATATGAAACGCGCATTTGTTAATTTTATTATTATTAGGTCAATATCAATATACTTAGGTCAATAATACGAAAGCTTAATGAGTATTAATTAACGGAGACAGACTCAAAGTGACGAAGGCATCCACCCCCTTTGCCTTGACGTACTTAAGCGCGTGTGTATATAGTAATCAAAAGTACGAGGTCACCCGAAGGCGCCACTGCACGTGGTAATTTGTCTGGACAAAATAATTTTTTTTTTGTTTGAAAAATGAGTATTTAGAATCTGAAAAGAAAAGGCAGACTCGTTTGATCGATAGACACCCGAAACTTATTGACGCGCAAGGGATGCTGCGATTATATAGGGGAGAGATATGAAACGCGCATTTGTTAATTTTATTATTATTTTTTATATTGAAAATTATGTAATCCACTATCACTGGCTCGAAATTGCTTCACAAAAAAAATGCACTTGGCGATAATAATTATTTATTAAATATAAATAATTCCTCGATTCACAAATTATATGTAAAATATCAATAAAACATTGTTTTTGCCGACTAACAGACTTTTATCATAGATTTAATCTCCATTTGTACAAAGGGTCGTCCGAGTATCAAAATTTCTTGCATATACGTTTGAAAGGTCGTTTCCGCTATCGTAGTATTTCAACAATTACCCAAAACTACCCTAATCCAGAGACAAGATTCAATTTTGTGTATCCCCTGCCAGTCAGTATCCTATATTTATGCAATTGTCCAATTCCAAAGATAATTATACCCCCGTGCTACCCACATAGTAATAGACGACAAAAAGGTAGAAACTAACCTCTAAATACAAAATTGATAAGAGCCACGTGAACATCGTTGAGATAACGATACATAATAGGCTAATAATGATATTAATCATTACCCCCGCTCTAACCCAGCACAACGTCCGAGATACATAGTAAATAATAAATAAAATTAAAAGAGAGCTCTGTAAATTTAATAAATTCGAGTGAAAATATTTTTCGAATTAAACTCAATGATTCCAGAATCCCGAGATATTCGAAGAATCCGAATTATGAGAAACATATAATAACTGGAGCATCGAAGAAGCCGATAAACGAACGCGCACACGTACATTTAGCAAAATAGATTTGTGGCTCAGAGTTTTTTCCCCAGCGCACGATCCGACCAATCAGGTCAAAGAAATGCCAAGATGGTCGGCCAATAGCTGCCCGGTCCGCTATCAATCGGACGAGCATATAACAGCGCCAAGGCGGACGCAACGTGACATCATTATACTCGGAGACGTTCGTGGTTCGTTAGTGACTCCCGTAGTAGGAAGAAAATAAGTCCGAAGAAGATCGGTATATAAAAGGACCCCACGCGGAGTGCGCCTCTCCTGCGTAAGGCCCAGTGCTAAGAAGCGAGATTGGCTGGGGCTCTATCCCCACTCCTTAACCTTCGCCTCCTGCAGAGACATCGGAAGAAAAGTGCATCGCCAAGCTCTGCCGGTATCAACAGCACAGAGAGGAGACTGAAGTCGCGCAGAGTTTCGTGAGGTCAAGGAGTGGGGTTCCCCCGTATATGGGAATGAGAGCATTGCCCGAAGTACCAGCTGTATATATATATATATGTATATAGTATAACAAAGCAGTGAAATAACTTCTTGGAAAGTTTCGACCGAACTTCGCGCATCTATCGCTTGGTTTATTCTACGAGAGTAACAGACAGTATCGTTTGATTTATTTCATTTAATGACAACCGGATGAGACGAATCATGCTTGGACGTCTTTTCATTGGTTTTCTACTAGCGTCTTTGGCTGATGCCGCGACCATCAGAGGCGCCAGTGTTAAATCTGGTGACCTTTGCGACAGGTGAGAAAAATTTTTTTTTTCAGTTCTTTTTTTATTTATTTGGTGATTCATGGATATTAATTTTATTGACGATAGGGCTCAAATTCTTTTTTATATAGTATTATCGTGGTAGAGATTTTTTTTTGGTTATTGGCGGGATATCGTCTTCTTACAATGGACCCGAGAAACTCTTCGGGTACGAGCGATAAATGGAGGATACGGAACTTGGGGAAATACCGAGCTACAAGTGTTACGGGGGAAAGTTATATGGGAAAGATCGTAAACTTGTTGAATGTCGATGCACTTGCAGACGCTGATTAAGTCGACTGCTGATGAAAAGGACGAAAATTAAATGGATATAGGAATTTCGGACGAGCTGATTGAAAATATATTTACTATCCTTTTATGCGCAGTGAGCGATGCGTAGAGTATCAAAATGGGGGGAGATGTACATAGAATAACTATAGATAAGGAAAGATTGGAAAATTTATAGTTTTCAAACGACGAAGTTAAATTATGCTTTAATCTGAAAAAAAAGACTAAGGAATCCTTTACTTAAGTTTTTCCAAAGTGATATAAAAAATTTTTATGAAAACTCGTCAATTACTTTATAGACTAAATTATACCGTCCCATTAATATGAAATTGTATAAATGTAACACTTGCGACATTTCAATGTTATTGTCAATATATTCTTTTTATCGTGGTTATCACTGCTAAGGAAATCAAAATATGACTCCGATAAAATATCCTATTTCTTTGATTAAGATATTTCGTTTTTATATACCGTGATAGGGCGTTATTATATACTGTGTCGCGATATCGAAATCAGCCATATAACGTAAGGTCAAGATCTGGATAATCTAATAGAAGAATGTGTGAAGAATGCCATTGATTCGTGTACTCGAGAACGATAAAAAAAGAAGATAACAAAAAATGTGCAATTTCTGAGCGAGGATAAGCTAATCTCCAACTATCTTATCTGACGATAACTTGGAAATATTTTACGAATCTCATTGCTTCATCTCACGTTTTTTAAGTCCTTCGTCGCTTACATGTTATAGCTGTTGAAACTTTAGGTAATGATAACAGCATGGGAAGGCCTGGTCGATTGTGGATTTCGATAAAACGTAATTGACAGTAAACTCGTGCCGAGACACGTGACGCGATGATCCATAAGAAAAACTTTCTGTCGCGTTTCACCATGAGCAATCGTCCCAGTAAATTTCCTACAAGAATCTTCCTCTGGGTAAAATATGTCCCGTTCTCAATTAATCCTGGACACCCGTTAGCGTGCTGAATCTGCGCGCCGGCAAGTCACGAATAAAAGTGACCGTAAGAAGAATGGAATATATTGCGAGAGAACACGGAGCTCCATCACCCTGAAATAAATTCCCAGACAGTTGAGGAATGCGTTGGAATATTTCTTGGAAAAACTTATCGCGCCCGGCTGTTATTCCTTTGACAATTGATAAGTATTAATAATTAATTTCACGAGATGCGCGCTTTTATTACATACTTTGACAAAGAGTGACACTCGAATTGGTTGACTGGGTTAAGAGTGAAGTAGGCAACAGTTGGTATCTAACGCTACACTACTGTCTAACAGTCCTATGCGCCAGACGTATCGGCTTCCTCATATTTATACGTCCTGTACACTTTCCGGTATTTAATTAATCTAGGAACATTTTCAAACAGTGATAAATAAGAGTGATACAGTGATTATAGTTTAGAAATATTTTTAGGTACGAAAAAAAAATATTCCCTGTGCTGGGATCGAACCTGAAACTTAACGGAAAGGATTATCCGTGAGCCGATCGATCCCTGTAACTTTCCATTGGACGAAAACGAATCTAACCTCACTCAATGATCTACCACTGTATATGTATTATAAAAGAACTTGCGTTATACTGTGTGACTGAAATTGGTTCTCGTGCAACACTGAATCCAACAGATAGCCGCATTGCTATTGGCCTGTCAGTTGACCCGTGAAACCTCAGAATAGTTGAATCGTCACTTGCGGAATGTGATACGCCGTTATTCCAGATTAAAGGTCGAAGTAGTCAGCTGTTTTGCAATAGATGCATTATGGACACGTTTACGCGGTTGAAATTCTCTCGTGATACAGAAATAATTAGCGAAGGAAATAACTACATCGAGTATACAGAACCATAGAAAGGTGATTGACGAACCTATTCCGACAATGACAATCAGCCGGGAACGTAGGAAACTGCTAATGGACGCGTACCGACTGCGTTTCTGGCTTCGAGGCGTCACGTGAACGATGCTTTAATAATGTCTGTTTTGTTGTTTTTCAACCACAGTGATTTGCAAATCATGAGAACGCTCTTGCTGAAAATTCCAAAAACTTGACGTCTTTAGAATACGTAAAATTGCTAAATCCAAACGCCCACTGTAAACAGCACTTAGCTAGGGGTTGGCAGTACTGCTAGTAACTTCCAGTGAACTGTGGGACGACGATCCAGAGTCTTACGTAACAGCCTTTAAAATTTATTCTATCGTTCCCCCTTTTTGCAGTCTTGTCATTATTATCACACGCTCGAAGTACCCTTTACAACGTATTAGCGCTAACAGCGTCCATCCCCTTGGGAAAACGTAGAAAAATTTCCTCTTCGATTATAACCTGGTTTCTGGTCTGGGTTAAATAAACTCCTAACGAAATCGCAATGGAAATTAATGCTAAACTTGGATCCCCGTAGAACAATATATATTCGCGTTATAAAAATCGCCTTTTTTCGTTTTCATGTATACGACCAGCCGTAACCCGTAAATACGAATGAAGCAGTTGAGAGGCAATAAAAATGTAATAATTTGTGCAGTGCTAGACTCGAGATTTTTTCTATCGAATTTCATACAATTTTTTATCTACAATTGTCGCAATTTTTCTTTTTCTTTCATTTGATAAGATTTTCTATTTTTGATCACTTACCGCAGCAATAAGATTAATACTATCCCAGGATACTCTAAACGATGACAGTTAGCCTTACCGAAAACTGGGATTAGTTTCTCCATGAAAAGTATATGCGGGATGAGGTCTCCCACGGGGTTCAGAGATAAACGCAGGATGAAAATGAAAAAAAAATATCTAAAGCTCCTTCGACTTCCTTCTGTGACTCAAATCCCTCAGCACGATGCCACTACGTAGATTATCCATACCATACAGACGGTGAAAAAAAAAAATACAAAATACCCCAGTTCCTAAATTATTCAACGCAAAACTGCTGATGTGGATTCGATGAAAACGTCAAGATTAAAATACAAAAAAGCTAAAACAATGGCTCGTTACAAAAATTATATAAAAATTGAAAATGATGCCATATACGATCAAATAGCAAATAATTAATTAGTCATAAAAATATTTTTAATTATTTTATGCTCGTTAACCAATTTCGGTGATAACAAATTTTTGGAATGTGTCACTATTTTACTGATTATATATATAATTTTTACAACTATATATACATAACTGCATACGATTAAATAGGGTTAAGCATAAATGACCATGTCATAAAACTAACAAGGTCTAACGACGTTTGGTCTGATATCACCATATGAGGTCATGTATGACTAGATATCACCATGCGTGTTTACATTGAACCATAATCAATCGCGTGAAATGAGTGGTACCGTTTAGTATAATACAATCGAATTTTAATATTTAAAAAAAAAAGTCAAGTCATGCAAATTTAAAGGAAACGTGTCACGGTTCAACTAAATTTACATTTTAACGTATTCCCTAATCAGTATTTTGATTGTCCCTGTCAGATTAGCCGCGTTTTGTAAATACTGCAGTCCTGAGATAGCTGGCAATCTTTCCACGGGGGGCATTAAACATTTATCGAACAAGTGGATACAATTTTCCACAAGGCCATCTCATCGAGGGAACTTTTCCTTCGTGACAGCCGAAACGGCCGAGGACCGAACGAATGTGGAAGCCATTGAAGAAAGCAGACGGTCTGCCGGGTACTTCAGCCACTAAGAGTCTAAATACTTTGGAAATTAATGGGCGATGGACATTTTCCTTAAGGGTGAATTTTCAACTCGCCACTCGCCAAAAACACTTTTCCCTCTCCGAGCTAACCCTTCCTCGCGTTCCGCCAAGGGGAAGGCCCTTCGGCAAATAAACCCCAATTCAACGAATTCTGAAACGCATTTGATTCAGGGTAAATTTAACATGGAAAGCGAAATTCTTTTATCTGCCACATTCAGGCCAATTACAGTTCCACGATGAAAAACAAAAAATTTTCTTCAAATTGCTTCACTCTTTTATCATCAGACTCGTTACTCCGTCAAAGTATCAACCAACAGACCCATTTACAATTCCGTGCTGTTTTCAGGCTTACGAATGGAAATGAATTTCTTTCAATGGAAATAAATCGCAATTAACACTAGTCTGATTACTTTTCGTTTAAACCTCGAATTCACGGTACCAACATAAGGAACGTATAAAAAGTGACGACCCTTCGCAAAAGGAACGTGGAGTAAAGAAAATGAAAGAAAAAAAGTGCCGCAAGTGGATGAAACCTGTGACAAGTGAGTTAACGTCACTTTGACAAGTAAACAGCAGAGACGTATAGCAAAGCGTACATTTCGTAATCAATGCAAATTTAACTAACCGTAACGAAACGAGGTTACCCGATAAGCCTGCGTGAGCAAATATTTATTTTCCACTAATTAATCCGTCAGTCGTTCGGACGGGATTTCAGGTTAAAAAATTGAAACGTCAAATTGTCGATAATAAATACGCGATTGACTTCGTTACAATTCAATAAAGAATCGCGCATTTTTACGATCCCGTTTTCATAGCGGCTGGTGTCGTTGAACGATTTAATTTTCTATGCGGTTTCCCAGGATCGCTGGGCTTTCGTATAACGAAAATCAATGCTCGAGAGAGGAGCGCTGTTGAGGTAAAAAGTCCAGACTGCTAAATAACTTGGGCTAAGGTCGGTTCGTGTTTTTATATGATTCAGAAATGGTACGAGGTATGGATTGAAAAAGTCGAAAAAATACGGTTTCGGTATTACGAGAAATACTGATACGGGTTTTTGTCGACTTTTGGAATTGGGAATTTTGGAGAGCAGCGAATTTCAAGTAAAATTTTAACGGGGTGTTTTGGTATAACGGGTGTATGAATTTTTATCATCGGATACGTCTGTGAAATGGAACAGCATCCCTGTACGTTGAGTAAACAGCTATCGGTCGTATAGAATATCGAGTATTAAACTAATAAAATTTAAATAATTTAAAACGAATTAATTAATTGTCCTCGAATTATATCGAACAGACCTTATTTTTCTTTTTAACCACCCAGTACCGTAGAATCGTCGACTAATCGACCGGAATTGTTGACGATAGTCGATTCCCATCTGCTGTACCTACCATAGTAATCCGCGCTCGAGCGATTCATCCCGTTTAACCCAATTGGTTATTAATCGAACTTGATTGGCCGACAGCTCGGTTTTATCCGCACGACAACGTCCAATTATCCCGAGCGAGGGTTAATTATCGAATCACCACCAGTCCGGGAATGTTGGTTGCGAGTGAAAAACTTACCTTCGAATTTCTCCCCGGACTCGCCTAACCTCTTTAACCAAGTTACTTTTTCCCAACTGAATTTCAACTCGCCCGTACTCAGTCCGAGTCTCGCGTTTAATTCGCAAAATTGGACGTCGAAGGTTTCGTCGATCACGAACGTTTTGGGATACTCGAGGACTCTTTTCGGCGAAACCGTTACGTCTGAGCTTGTACCGAATTTCATTCGAATAACCAGGAGCTTGTATTTCTTATTGAAAACGTGACAATAATTTCGATCCTTTTCTGCCTACTGGTAAATAAAACGTTCCGATATGTTCTTTTGTCACGCTGCATTACGCCTGCCGAATAGCCGGCGAAACGTATAGAAAACAGTGTGAAAGGAGTTTCGATGGGAGCGGTAGGGATAAAACGAATAAAAGTCCATAGCAACGCGGAGCTACGTACACGGGTAGCTGATTTTCCGATAAACTCGAGAAACCTGGATTTAACCAGCGAAACGGTATACGGCTTCGGCAAGCCGCAGACAAACGATTACATTAACTGGGCTGCGGTGTTATTCACGCAAAATTTCGTTTTCTTCCACAGGATATCCATGACACAATTTTCGATTATTAAAACGTAGGGTCGTACGCTGGAACCCTTGATTTTGAGCATTCGCAGATAATTGACCGTGTACAATTTTTGTAAAAAAAAAATAATTTTTTTTATCATGCAAACTTCGAATCATCCCCCAGTTAACTTTTGAAGCAGGCAAAATTTGTCTTTCCTTTTTCACTTTTTTTTTTTAATTTTGTTATTTCCCGCCTATTCGCTTCTCTCGAAGATTAAGCCCGAGGCTTTGGCCTTGAGGCTATTAGATCTATACGTAAGTGGAAAAGTTGGACTTTCGTAGTATGCAGGAGAATTGAACGAGGGGGTTGGTATCCTGGCAATTTTTCCTTGAGACTCCCCCCTGCCACCCCCCCCTCCCCATCGTCTATAGGACTTTCTGAGTTTCATCCTTGGGTTATAACGATAACGAACAACAGCGAAGCGGGTGTAGAAGTTTCTCTGGCTCGAGTAATGATAAAGCTAAGCGAAGAACCCAATGGCGTTTTCTATAGCCCGAGGAACGATCGTTACACCATCGATTTAATACGAGCTAATTTTGTATCTTTAATTCTTCTTCGATTCAAATTTTCAGTCAAATTTACTGCCAGGGCGAATTGCTCAAAACCATTCAACTGGCCAGACTGTACGAAGACAGTAAAACGTTCGTCGACATGTCCCAGTTGCACGATCCGGAAGTGACTCTCAGCAAGTAAGGAAGAAATAAATGATTGCGGGGAGAAATCCGACGAAAAATGATTAATTAATAAAAATTAACTCCAGCTTTCAGAAATTAATGAAGGAAACAAACAACAATCCCAATGCCACTCAGCTGCGAGAATTCATAAAGGAAAACTTCTCGGCGGAAGCTGAACTGGAGAACTGGAGCCCGACCGATTGGACGAAGAGTCCAAAGATTCTGAATAGGATACAGGATCCGAATTTCCGTGAGTGGCTGGAGGACTTAAACCTGATCTGGAAAAAATTATCGAGGAAGGTGAAGAAGGAGGTGTCTGAAAATCCAAGTAGACACAGTCTGATATACGTAGAAAATGGATTCATCGCACCTGGAGGAAGATTTACAGGTTATTCTTTAGCTCGTTTTTAAACCGACTCCGAATAAGGGTTGTACAATTTTATACATTTCTTTTCTCTTTTTTTTTCATAAAAGAATACTACTACTGGGATAGCTACTGGATTATAGAGGGTTTATTACTCTCGGATATGCACCAGACGGCCAAGGGGATGATCTTGAATTTTCTTTACTTGGTCAAAACTTACGGCTTTATTCCAAACGGTGGTCGCGTCTACTATCTCATGAGAAGTCAGCCACCCCTTCTTATCCCCATGGTAGGAAACAATTTTTTTCATAAGTAATTCAAACTCAGTAAAGCACAAGGTGTGGATTTTCGGAAATTGGTCGATAGCACTTAAAAATTTTCTTAATAATACCGAGTCCGAGATATACTGACTCATTAAGTATATCAGTCCCTTTAATCAGCGTTTGAGATTCGTTAGCACCCTGTAAGGGCATTCCACCCTTAGATAAATAAGGGTTGGAAGGTATAGGACAATAAGCTGGTCGCACGCTGAGAAAGTATACATCTAGAGAGAGAGGAAATTTTTGTATTATTTTAAAACCACCAAGGAGGGGGTTAATTCACCCCATCCCCACTCCAACCACCCCTCGTTGAATTTATTGCAAAACTTTCAGCCTCTAATGGCTGGTATAATTCTTGCGATCAGTTAATGAATATATACTAAAGAGATTTTGCCTTAGAGCAGACCCCCACTCGACATTACTCAGCTTGAAAACTGGTAAAGGGGTGAGTTTTACAGTGTTTTAGAAAACGGGAACGCGAACCAACAACCCCCGCGGGGTTTTACCTCCCCCGGATCTCAGTTGCTCGCGAATTTCCAATATTACTAGCTTAATTTTTTTTTCTTTAAATTACAAGGGTGTTTCAACCCTGCTAAGTCAATCCTGTATATATTAATATATATACTCTTTTCTTACCAGTAGTAACAAGTAAGAACTTTGTCTTCCAGAGGAATGTACCACTTCCCTTATGAAGAATTCAAGAAAGTAAAAATAAACGAGTTCACTTTGTTTGTCTAAACGAAATCCGACACTTAAACCGGAAGTTAGTAAATTTTTAAGAAAAATTTTTTTCGACATTATTTCGAAAAATAATAAATCCTTAGGTTTTCTTGTTTCTTGAGAATTCTTAACGTCTGCTATCTCTTTACGGATGTGACTACTGTACTGTGCGCTATCCAGTATATACTGGAAGCTTTGGCAATACGAGACTTTACTGCGAAACTTTAAACGGGTTTCATAGCGTTGAAGGAAGAGACACGTTTCTCAGCTCCCTTAGGAGTTTCCCGGAAAGTTTCGTATTACCTCAGTTATAGATATACTCTACGTAGATAAGTATACAGTGTCATATAACACTCTGTTTTTCCTTTGTAACAGGAATTCGCCAGCAGAAACTTTCATCCTATATGTAAATTCAAGGATCCACGCAATCTGTTTTCAGGTCGATAGATATTTGGAGTATACGAACGATCATCGATTCCTCTACGAGATAATCGGGATTCTGGAAAAAGAATTTGCATATTGGCAACGAGATCATGCGATAGAAGTAGAAAAGAATGGCGTTACATACAAAATGTCAAGATATATAGTGAGTAGCGACGGACCAAGGCCAGAAAGTTATAGGTTAGTATTTAAAATTCATTTTTCTTATGAAAATTATTAAAAAAGTTTTCTCAGTAATAATAATTATATGAATGTCTCGTTAGCGAGGATTACGTACTGGCTCAGGGTAAGAGTGAGGATGAACGAAATTCTTATTACGAAGATATCAAGGCTGCTGCAGAAAGTGGATGGGATTTTTCGGCACGATGGTTCATTACTAGTAATGGTGCTAAGGGTAATCTCACTAACATGGCTACCAGATATATAATCCCCGTTGATCTTAATGCATTCCTTCAAAAGAATGCACGACTACTTAGCGAATTTCAGCTAAAACTTGGCAACATTGCGGTAAGAGATTAATTAATACTCACCTCATTTAATATCTGATAGTCGCCAGTAATCTAGCTTGACATCACTGTATTACTATGCCATCGTGTCTGGCTGTGTCCTGGATCACGCTTTACGATTTATCTCACTTTAAACTTCCCGCCAACAGAGTTTACACTGTAATACACTTCATATCCTGTGAATATACGTTCCGCCGTGTGATTACCGAGTATATAAAACCATTTGAAGTTAGCTCAGTTATGACCAACTTCCGAACGAAGAAAAAAAAATCAATTTCGTCACATTGCTACTCTTGATGCGAAAGAATACAAATATATGTATTAAAAAGGATAGCAATAACACGAAATCGGAAAAGTTGCAATAAAGACGAAAGAAAATTATATAAATATTATTCAAAAGCTCTCGTTGCGATTCATTGCCGGAGGGAAATTGCTTTTTATTCTACGTATCCGAGTTGATCGTTTGAGTTCAAAGATGGCGCTGAGCATCGTGACAGTCGGGAGTGACGGAACGACGGTTGACGTGAATTATTTCACCGGTGTTGCCCTTTTCGCTTGCACTTATCATTTCTCTTTGTCAATTCAATCTTTTAGAAGTCACGATACTACGAGGACATAGCCAAGGAATATCAAGTTGCCATTGACAATGTTTTATGGAACGAAGAAAAGGGTATCTGGCTAGACTATGATATCAAGAACAAGAAACAAAGGGATATCTTCTACCCCACGAACTTGACACCTCTGTACACTAAGAGCTACGATATATCAAGATCAAGGGAGTATGCAGATAAGATGGTCAATTATCTAAACAGCATTGGAATTATCGACTACATGGGTAAGAGCTAGATACATAACCTGTACTGTCAAGCTTACCCTATATCTTCAATTGTCCTCTATTTTCCATCCGTCTGTGCACAATACTCGCTCTCCATCTTTCTGTCATTTGTTTCTTTATATTTTTTACTCTTTCGTTCCTGCTCCGGGAATTGCACCAGAGATTCTTATACGCCTACGTTCATATCTATATACGAGTAACTACTCCGCAAGGATACTCGACGTATCCCTGCAGGCAAGTCGCACGACGAAGATTGATTTCCGCCAGTGATTCAAAAGTCATACCGAATTGCATCACTGACAGTGCTAGTAGTCAAAAACGATCCTCGTGAGAATATTGTCACCGATAAAGGATGCAGCATCTTAGTATCAGTATTGCTAGTAGCATCTGCCTACGATTCTGTGTCCTCGTGCACACTGGAACAGTTATCTATCTTCCTGCTTGGTCGAGCGAATGGAGGATAGAAAGAAGATGGGAAAAGAACGTGCTTTATACCTCACGGATGATCGCGTGTGAACGACGCTGTAGGATCTAAGACGATATTCACTATCGTACTATGAATTTCTAAGAGCATATAGATATACACCACGCTCTGAATTCACTACGGAAACCGGACAGAGGCCGCGTGATATATACGAGCGAAATTTTTCTTCCACTTCCTGTCTGTTATGTAGCTACTACTGGATCAGTTGTACAGTGTGATTCAGGGTTCTAAATAAGAGTGTAATATCATGAGATGTATCGTTTGCATATGTAAAATATTATACCGAGCTGTACCTATTTACCTCTAGCCGGATGCGGTATATTTTGCAGAGCAGAATACACTACATCCTTTGTCTAACATAAAATCACGTCGCGTTGTGCGCTTCTACATTTTATGGGTACATTTATCTTCGTGTGCATGACCATAGCCATCTTTACGAACGTTTCTTAAAGTCGGAAATCGTGGCAAATCTCTGGAGCAATCAACACCTCTCTAGTTCTTTGTGGCAAATCTCGTATGCTAGCATAGATAGTAGTAGTAGGAGTGTTTGAAATATATGAAAATTTTTCATAGCTGCTACCAATATTATTTGTAATTTCTACAATTGGAAATTTGAAACTCGAGTGTAATTTCCTTAAAATTTAACAGGTGGCACTCCAACGTCCTTGGACCCGACCGGAGAACAATGGGACTACCCTAATGCCTGGCCACCCCTACAGTCCATCATCGTTAAGGGTCTGCACGAGACAGGGTGGGAACCTGCAACCAGTCTGGCCAAAGAATTGGCGACTAGGTGGCTTCGTGCAAATCATGCTGGTTTCCTCACGTATGGTCAAATGTGTGAAAAGGCATGTAACACTAATTCTAATTCATATTTTTTTCTATCTCAGGCACAGCTGTACCACAGCATCCGTTGACGTGTTTAATTTCCGTATGGCAGCACCAGTGAATGGAACGCTGGATAAATATTATTTTAACGTTAATTCGCAATGCGCATGCGAACGCAAACAGATGTCCTCTTGTTACTACAGGGAAATACCATAAATAATTTAACAAAATACTAGAAAGGAAATATCCAGTATGTGTGTATTTCTAATCAATCACGTTGTCGTTTCTCTGAAAGCATAGTATGGAGTAAATAGTCTGAATTTATCACAGACGTATGAGAAAACCAGGTAGACCCATGCACGAAAATCATGGAAACAATACTGGGAGCAGCCGGCTTGACGAGTAAACACCCGGAATTTTTCGTGTTCTTTTATTTTCTTTCACAAAACCAAATAATACAATACTGGAAACAGCGGGCCTGGCGAGTAAAAACCTGGCATTTTTCGTTTTCTTTTTTTTGTTTTTTCTTTCACAAAACTAAATAATACAATGCTTCTTCTCAGCTTCTTGCATAACTCAGTGCCTACTTGGATGTTTGTTTACGTTGCTACCTCGACCGAAAAAAAGAAATTATACCTTTGCCACGAGATGAATGTCACGAGATTTTTTCGCACGATCACCAGCATCCCCTTCTTACTCTTCATCCCTTAATGGAAACGTAGCTGCGGATCGCTTCGAGCGCTTAAATAATTCTTTTTGAACCGAATTCTACGTCGGTCCTTCTTCAATGCATTACGCCATTCTTCTCGTAGCTATACAATGCTCGATAAAAGAAGGACACGTGTGTACGTCCACGCATTAGCCAAAGAACCGGATGGTGGGGAGCGAGATACATAAATTTACCAGCAAAAACATGAAGACCCAAAATCGTTCATCATCCCTTGCTCTAACGTGAATTTTTCAAATGGTATCGCCCCTCATTATTCTCCCTCATGCTCTGAATTACTTTTCGCGTATTTTTAGGAACCACTTTGTGGGGTATATGTATATATACAGAATATTCGCATTAATATCGTTAAGGTTATCCGCAGAGTTTTGAAAATAATATCGTTAAGTAACAAGCTTTTCGCAGGGACATGAAATTTCTTCTTAAAATAAAAGGGGAGAGATAAGAACAGAAATTTAGAGAAAAGCTTCATGTTCGCTTGATTATATCCGGTCGCTCGGGAAGCGATTATTTCCGTTCGCCTATACAAGACGCTAAAGATGAAATCAAAGCAGTGAATAGAAAACAGCTTTGCCGAAAACTGCTTGCGCCGGAGTCCTGAGAAATTTGAAGTCATTTCGTGGGTAAATTGTGGCTAATAGGGGTAGCCTCGGGTAAAGCTTTTCAGTTGATTTGTAACGTGTCGTTTACATTTTTAAAGAGACGTCGTTGACCTTCACCCTCGTGCTTCGTGCTTAATCCACCTTTAAATCTAACGACGAGATGGTAACGATCCGCCAAGCACGAGACTTGCCTAGCGTAATATATGAAAGTATATCTTTTACAAATTATAATAATATCAACGCGAAAATTAATCAACGACCAATTCCAATTGATGGGAATTATAAAAAATCACAGTGAACGTAGATTAATTCTATAAAATTGTACACGACCCCGTATTGATTCTGGCATCGAAATATTTTGAATTTCGTTATACGTTCGTAAATTCTTGTTTTTCGTTTAATCGGTACAGATCGATTTTCTGAACGACTTTGGTTAAGAAATTTTAATTAATTTACTATAGTCTAATGCAAATAAATTTTATCTTGGGATGAGCTTGTTTCTCATGTGTCTACTTCATTGCTTGCAGTACGACGCGGTGAAACCTGGCGAATGTGGAGGAGGTGGAGAATATCAGGTTCAAGCTGGGTTTGGATGGACCAATGGCGTAGTCTTCGAATTATTAGATTTATATTCGTCAGTGACGTCGACCGATTCTGAAACTATCGTTGCTTGCAAGGATTGCGTCGACAGATAAATTGGTAACTATTTATTTATATACACGTTGATTAAATATATTTCTAATTTATACATACAATCGTATATCACATTTGAGCAATGCAAAGTCGTACTTGAATTTTGACATTTTTCGAACTTCAAAACAACCCAGTAACTTAATACAATATATAAATTAATTCATGATTCGCTTTTGAATTGACCCACAATGATTGAGGTTAGGAGTAATTCAAGAAATATATAGTTAATCATCTTTATCCTTTAGATGCTTTATTTTTCTGTTGAATCAATTGCTAGACCATATATAATAATTGGTCCACGAGTTCTGTGTTTTTGACAGTTTGCAATCAATGTAATCCCCAGAAAATTACGCGTTAAAAATCGTATACAGGGTTATTTTGTAAAAAAACATATGCAGTCACGTGCAAATTTTTAAAAACTTCGTTTTCGGTCTGTTAAAAAGAAACAATAACTCCCGGACCGTCTACAGCAATGATTTTCAGTTATAATACGAATAGGTAAAACTGTACAATCTCATCGTCGGCACAATTGAGAAACCATTCAAATTCATGGCTGCACCCCATTTCATTTAAAAGCTTTTGATTACCAACGCTTGAGTGTGTATTATCATAGTAGCCGTAGATTACTTGGAAAGTTGCCTTAAAGTCTGAATAAAGCGAGGAGATTTTTTGAAAGGAATTATATTTATTCAGCTAAATTAGCCTTCTTACATGAAATAGCTGGAGGAAGTCGAAAGAATCCCAAGTAATTTCTTAGAGAGTGGAATCGCTCGTTTATCAACTGCCTCTCTTGTTACTTAGAGTTACTGTAGTTACTTTTCTTTTTCGAAAGTTTACTAATTCAACAAGTACGTTAATTCAATGCTTGTCGTAGCGCCATCTCTCGGTTTTTCCTACAACCTTACTCTTGTACATCATTCTTGCAGTAGTTTTATACAGTAGTTATCTATTATATAAGGCTTTAATTCATGTTTTGCTATCAATTCAAGTTTCGGCCTATCTACGCTTTATCTGTCAAATAATATAATATAAGGGTTAGTGATGTTCATGTTTAGCCAACGGCTAATCTAATCCTATATCATCTTGCAGCTTTCCACGGAGATTATCAATTACTAGTTAATGATAGTAAACACGTGCTTTCAGGTGGCGAGCAACCTCACAAAAGGCATCATCCTAAGTATTAGTCCCGCACGAGTCTAGTCCTCGAGGAAGCATCGAAATTTCTTAGTGAGGAGTAAATATGTAACTATGTTATTGTACATATAGTTGGTACATATGTATACATATGTACGGACCGCGATAACCTCAAGTCGCTTTAGAACCAGCGACAATGACGTATGAATACTTAACGGAGAGAGGCTTTGAATTTCATTCGTGGAATTCGTGTTTCTGTTGCACGATTCATTTAGCTTGTGTGTAGCTCGACAATAAAGTAATAATAGCAGTAGCAGAGTGCGGTAAAGAAAATAAAATAAGACCAAAAGGATAAGGACCTAACCTTGCACGTTATTGGACGCCTTTGTCAGTATTGTAGAGACGTTAATGTTAATTTTAATGGCAATTGTGAAATGATTAAGGCGTTAAGGTATAAACGACAAAAAAATAGGTAGGGATCTTCGTCTTGAGAGAGTAAAGTGGGAGATTTGGGCAAAAATATAATTTATTCTTAGGATGTAAAGTATTTCATTTCATTTTGATCTTTTCTCCCCATTTTCATATCCAAGCTTAAAAAAATCCTTGGTAATAACGTTAAACGTTGCCGTGACTGTTCCTTGAACTTTCATTCGCGTTACTGTAACAAAAAATTCCTTAATCTTAGTTCTAATGGTACTTTTAAGGCAAATAAAAATGCTGTTCTTACACTCTCGGCCATTTCCGGTTGCTAAGATCGTTGGATCTATCAGTTCCGGTCTTCTTCCAGTCAACCAGGCTGAAAACTGTTGCATTACCGAAGACGACTCTGGTACATATATTGAAATCCTGGGACATGTATATATGTAGAATAATGTAATAATAAGCTATTAGGATTATATTAACTTAAATGAAATGTCCGTACGTTTTCTTATGACGTCCTGTACTTAAAGGTAAATGGCAGACGCCGTATCCTCTAATAACGTCATGTCCAAAAAAGTCAAGACCGTAAATTGAAAGTATTAATTGCGGCCCTAAAACCGTATGATTTTGTTAAACACGAAACTCACAGTAAACTAGTGCTGTTTCGATTAATGAAGAAAATTTGCACCTACAGCCATGTGGACTTGAGCTCTTAAACGTGACGCTTAATGGAAAATTCCAAACTGCACGTTCTCGTGTCACGCCACCTTTTTTACACATCTGAGTAAGACCCTCTTCGATTCCCTGAACATTGAATCGACAAAATAATTGTATCAGGCTTAATTAGTAACAAAAACAAATCAAATAATACACAATCTGATTAATTGCAATCACCGTAACGAGGCTCCACTCAGGACCAAAATGGTAGCCATGCTTGCAGTAAACGTTGTCGATATCGTAAAATTCTGCGTACTCAATTGCCCCGGTTACAGCGACGTAAAATTCACCACATTCCTGCGACATTCCTTGTAGCGTCCAGTATTTTACTTGATCTCGAACCTAATGCAACGGGTAAACGTGACAAGATAGTAAGAGTCTCCAAACAGGTGTTTACGATGTGTTTTTCTTTGGTGTAACCATAGAAACGGCGCATGCGCACTTGCTAGACTAACAACGACGGTCATAGAAAACAAACACAAATATCAATTTTAATAATTTTATTAGATCTCGCCGATTGCGCGTGATCCTAGATTTACATTAGATTACCGAAATCAGTCGTAGTATAACGAGCTAGCGAATCTCAAGATTATACATAAAAATTTACTAAATAACATGGTATATGTATATATGTACAAGATCACCGAGTAAAGGTTATTCTCGTTTTGGCTCTTGCGATTTAACGGCGCACGCGTTGACCTCGGGGTTGTACACGTTTTTTTTCTTCATGATAAAAAGGACACGCGTACGCTGACCGTTAAATCCCTTAGTGAACTAGAAATTACTTCTACTTTGTTTTCGGCAAGGTAAAAATCATGCATGGGGTCGACTTATCTTAAGCGACACGTAATTAACAATCGATTCCAGAATACTACAAAACTCAGCTAGCTTGGTATCCAATTCAGACATTATTTCACTCTTACGCAATGTAACAGTATTTATCAGCGTCCCGCGCGGAGTCATCAAAATACCGCGAGATCAATAATCTCGATTATTTATTTTATCAAGTTTATATCCTACACCCATCCTCTATTATTATACAATCTACACTTCTAGGACCTTTCTTTCTTGACTATTTAGTCACTCTGGTTACTTCAGAACCGAGTCTTACGACTAGCTCATGTTAAAGCAGATTAATAACAGTGAGAAATGACATAATCAATTAATATCAAATCGTCCTCTCGGTGACCCAATCTATAGCGTAACTAGCTGTAATTGTGTGCGATGTTTCGCGATGGTGAATTTTCTTTTTCAAACTACATGCTTAACGTCCGGATGCAATTTCCTTCATGCGATTCAAGGCGGAACCCGCCTTGAACCATTGAATTTGCTGCTCATTCAGTGTGTGGTTAAGTGTGATCTTTTCAACTTTGCCATCCTTGTGCTTAATCTCTGCCTGAACTGGTTTACCTGGTGCAAGATCTTTTAGACCAAGTAAACTGATCTTGTCAGTAGGCTGGATCTTGTCGTAATCGCTAGAATCAGCGAAAGTCAGTGGCAACAGACCCTGCTTCTTCAGATTTGTCTCGTGAATACGAGCAAAGCTCTTGACGATGATGGCGCGTGCGCCCAAGTGACGTGGCTCCAGGGCGGCGTGCTCCCGAGAAGAACCTTCGCCGTAGTTTTCGTCGCCTACAGCTACCCAACTAACACCGTTCTTCTTGTAGTAACGGGCTACGTCGGGTACTGTACCCCACTCACCAGACAGCTGATTCTTGATCTTGTTCATCTCGCCATTCTCAGCATTGACAGCTCTGTACAGATATTTATTTATTTTATCATGAATAATTGAATGTTCAGTCAATTGAATTTATAACTCACCCGATAAACATATTGTTGGAAATATTATCCAGATGACCACGATACTTGAGCCAGGGTCCAGCAGCTGAGATGTGATCAGTAGTGCATTTTCCTTTAACCTTGATCAGGACAGTGAGGTCGGTCAGATCCTTGCCGTCCCATTTGTCAAAGGGTTCAAGTAGTTGCAATCTCTGGGATTTGGGGTCGACGTCGACCTGGACTTTGCTACCGTCAGGTGGAGGAGCGTCGTAGGTATCCATACCAGGATCGAAACCACGGCTGGGAAGTTCATCACCTACAAAAAAAAAGGAGATCAACCTTTGCAATTTTCATAGAGAATTTATAAATAATTTATTCTCGACGTTCCTAAAATACTAACCGTACGGATCATCCAAGCTGAACTCTTTGCCATCAGCACCCTTGAGTTTATCAGTGACCGGATTAAAGTCCAAACGTCCAGCAATAGAAAGAGCTGTAACGAGCTCAGGACTCGTCACGAAAGCATGAGTTGCGGGATTTGCGTCATTACGTCCAGTAAAGTTACGGTTGTAGGAAGTGACAATAGTGTTCTTTTCACCCTTCTTGGTATCCTGACGATCCCACTGACCAATACAAGGTCCGCAAGCATTGGCGAGTACAACACCACCGAATTCACGAAGAGTCTCAGCCTATGAGACAGTTAATTAAGTAAATACAAAATTTTCTACAAGAATATAGTATTAAATTAGAATTGATGTGCTGTAGCAAGATCTAATTGAAAACAGAGTAAATTGCAATGTTGCCTCTATGCACAACAATATCTAGCAATTCATGCGCAATGCCTTGGCTCAACATTCAAATTGCATAAATACAATATTCAATAAGAGCCAAAAAAAGAATCCCATTAATATTCAAAAACTTACAATTCCGTCACGCTCGATGGTAGCACGAATCTGTTCTGATCCAGGTGTAACATTGAACGTTGACTTGGACTTGAGACCATGTTTCAAAGCTTGTTTGGCAATGCTAGCACATCTGCCCATATCTTCATAAGAGCTGTTCGTGCAAGAACCAATGAGACCGACCTTGATCTCGTTAGGCCATCCGTTCTTTTTGGCGTTAGCGCCTATTTACACAGATCAACAAGAGTAATCAGAAGCAATAAATAAACATCATATGAAGTTTCCAGCTTTCGTAAAGTCACTCGTGCGAAACTAGATAAGATTAAAGTTTCAGAGAACATACCTAATTTTGAGATAGGATGAGCAAGGTCCGGGGTAAACGGTCCATTTACATGTGGTTCCAACGTCGAGAGGTTAAGTTCAATAATCTGATCATATTTAGCACTAGCGTCAGCAGTCAGAAGACTCTCCTTATATTGATCAGCAGCAGATGCAATAGCTTCACGTCCAGTAGACTTAAGATAATCTTTCATGCGTCCATTGTAAGGGAAGACGGAGGTCGTAGCTCCAATTTCAGCACCCATGTTGCAAATAGTCGCCATCCCGGTACAGCTGATGCTATCAACACCAGGTCCAAAGTATTCTACAATAGCACCAGTGCCACCCTTGACAGTCAGAATATCAGCAACCTTCAAGATGACATCTTTAGGGCTGGTCCATCCCTTAATCTCTCCAGTAAGTTTCACACCGATGACCTTGGGACATTTTAACTCCCAGGGGATGTTCGCCATAACGTCAACGGCATCAGCACCACCGACGCCAATGCAAAGACCACCGAGACCACCTCCATTAGGGGTATGGGAATCGGTACCGATCATCAAGAGACCCGGGAAAGCATAATTCTCGAGGATAATCTGATGGATGATACCAGAACCTGGATTCCAAAAACCAACTCCATACTTAGCTCCTGCAGTCTTTAGAAAATTGTAGACTTCCTTGTTGACATCCTTTGCACGCTTCAAATCTTGTTTTCCATCAATTTGAGCCTCGATCAAGTGATCACAGTGGATTGTTGATGGTACAGCCACTCTTGGAAGACCTAAAAAATAATTATTGCACTTAATAACAATCCTTCATCTCACAATCTTTCATCTATACTTTTAGAGCATATTCTAATTACCAGAGCTGATAAACTGTAACATTGCCATCTGCGCAGTAGCATCTTGCATGGCAACACGGTCAGGTCGCAACCTCAGGTAACTTGTTCCACGAACAACTTCCTGATTTTGAGGATCATCTATATGAGAGTATAAAACTTTCTCAGACAGTGTCAGAGGTCGATTCAGTCTGTGATAAAGACAAAATAATTAAAAATTTTCTACTTTATACAAACATTATTTATTTATATTCTATGATGTACCGTTTCTTAACAATTTTGATGTTATTCTCCAGTTTATCGTATGGGAGGTACGAGGTTTGGTCGAATTTGGACATTGCCACCTTCGCAGCAGCGAAGCTTAATGGACTTGCACTGAAGCATCTTTGCTGAATGTCTGCCGCAAATCCAGTTAATCTCTATAAACAAAATATTAAAAAAAATTGATATATAATAACAACTTATCCTTTTATATTTAAGAAATGTTAAAGCAATATACATATCAGGAACAAAATCAAAAACAATTTTTATCCAGATACAATAAATCATGGATACCATATGTGTGCCTTGAATTATAAAAATGGCCCAAAACAAAAATATCAAAAGATTCAGTTAGTCATTGAGGAAGAGTATTTCTATATATATAAAAACGAAAAAAATCTAAGTATCTCAAACCAACATCATGATTCAGGCTATTTTCGTAATCACTGGCATATACATGCATATGTTTATCCTATGCGAGGCGGAGAATTGCTTATATTAAATTGATAAGGTACGTATCACATTAAAGATAAAATTAAATAAACAAGAACGTCAGAGATTGTTAAGAGGAATTCTCGATGATATTTATCCGATTAGTTTCAAATCCTATTGATGCTTTAAATGTTCCCACATCTACCGTGGAAAAACACTGTCAAGGGACGTCGATATGTCAATCATAGGCGTAGCAGACGACGTAACATTAAATTATTATACATAACTTTAAGATTAAATATAATACAGTTTATAATGATATGGCCATACAATATATAAGAAAATATATCGAATCATAAAACAAAATCTTTAGAGAAAGAATATCTTGATCTTGAACGCCACATGATCGCACCAGGCAATGTAACCTCAAAAAATATCATCGATACGTTTTTCAGATTGCCGTTACGTAATACTCAGGGAATTTTTCTATTTTTACTATTCGCCACCTTCCACGTATAGGTAGTTAGACAAAATTAAAGTTTCAACTTCAACAAAATAAAACCAAAATCCTAAAGAAATTTTTAATCAGTGAAATAATTTAGGCGAAATTCCTGTTACAATGGCGAGCAATAAAAAATATGAATGGAGAATATCGAAGAAGTAACTGTGATCTTTATGAACGATAGGTAGCATAAAGATAAAAAAATTTCACGAAATTAATTAACGTATGCCTAACTATACGACTCCAGGATATCAATCAATTCTTCCCATGAAATTAGGTACTGTAAAGACCTAGTTGACCTCTGAAAGAGGTCGAGAAGAACTCTTAGCAACGATAGAATATTTCACAACTACTAGTGATATTCACAGTGATAATTGTCCTAAGTATATTCTAATGATACAACGATCATTCTAGTATTGTAAGAACTAGCGTGCAGATGTTCTCATAGTTATTTCCTACCTGTGCACGGAAAACCCGAACGTAGTACGACATTATTGCAAAACCAGATCTCCCTTGACGTCGTAACTCGTGAAAAAGAACAAGCGCAAGCGCGTTATCGAGGAAAGGACTCTTATGTGGCAGTTCTTCTCAAACCGGCCACCAGAGAACTGAGCTTAACCTGCCGTACTTCGTACCCTGATGTTAATATTAAACTATAGGCGCATGCGCATGTCTTAATCGGATCAATTCATATGGATGCTGCAATTTTACAAAAATGTATGTATGTAAATCTCATTATTGATAGTATCATCGTAAAACTGTCAGCAGTTACAATTACACTTATAAAACTTTGTCCCAGAAACTACAATTACTATTTCGATGTTTTGTTCGTTAAACAAAATAATGATGACTTGTGAGACTTCCCAACTGGTTGAGAACTTATTTCGGAACTTTCGGTATAATTGCAGTGCTAATTTTCCATTTCTCATCACAATTTTGTTTCATTCAGTTTGCTAAAGAAAACACGTAGGACTAGGATCATACAAAGTTTAATGAATCGTACAAAATATACCGTAAATAAAACACGAATCTACACGAGTGTTCCGTTCAAAGAATACATCCAATTTCTAATGTCGATAACTTAGGATTTATCATTCGCAATGTATTTGAGTTCTCATGCAATTATTGGTAGATCTTGTAAAGTAGGTTGAACTGTTTTATCTTGTGCCTCTTATACTATAGCTAGTGTAAAACTTCGCACATCATTAGCCCGGCTCGTTATAGTTTTACGATTGTTAAAACTACTATGTTTGTACTAAACTATTAACATTCTTAATGATCTAATAATATCTTTGTATAAATTAAACTTGGCTTTTTCTTGGCGTATAATCATGTTAAATAATACTCATTCATATTTTTTATTACTGTATTTTTAAAATATAACAGCTGTTTTTATATGCTATCATTGAGTTGTATTGGATTATGAAATTTACTAATGATTACCGACAGAATATAACTTTGCTCAGACAAAGAGGAAGGACGAATCAAATACTTAATTATAAATTGTTATTGCAATAAATCAGGAATAATCTTTTTCCTATAATATTATCTTGATTCGACAACATACTTGTATTAATTTATAATGAACTTATTAAATCACTTCATTTATGTTTAATACCTGTATTATCTATGGAACACGGCTCAAATTAATATCGTTGTATACATTGTCTACATATGTATATTAATTGATAAAAAATTTCGAGTTTTTTGAGAGTGGAATTCCCAATTTAAAAATAGTATATGAATGCTCTATAAACAACATGTTGTCTACATCGAAAACGCGCATGTTTTTATATTAGGTAACTGATAAAGCAAGTACTACTTGTCACGGGAAAATTATTGATATGCGCTATCAGTTATAGCTATGATAAAGTCAAAAAACTTGTTCCTATCAATTAAGATGCGGTAATCAAATAATATTTTATCGTGTTTCTTTACAGTTGAATTTACGGATAGTACACAACAATAGGTATAACGCCAAAAGCTACTTTTTTGAAAATGTCCGCACAAGTCGTCATTGTTGGCTCCTGTATGATTGACTTCACTTGGTACGTAACAAAAAGTAGTAGAAAATGAAATAAAAATATTTATAGAATACCTATACAACATAAAATGTTCATAAATAAACATCCATAAGTTCTCTTAATAAATACTACAAGTCTCATAAATCTCGTATCGCATCCCATACACATCGTAGAGACGTTCCTAAAAGTTTTGAACTTTATGGATATGCTGCAAATCTTTATAATACTTTATAATAGTTAATACATATTATTCTTATTAATTTGTCCAAAGAACTGTGTGTATACTGCATATTGAAAATGGTATTAAATGTAACGAAACCTTTCAGCTATTCCCCAAGATTGCCTAAACCTGGCGAAACTTTAGCTGGATCTAAATTTGAACAAAATTATGGAGGAAAAGGCGCTAACCAATGTGTATCAGCAACAAAACTTGGAGCTTCTACAGCTATGGTTGCAGCAGTAAGCAATTAAAGAAAGGAAGAATTTATAGGTCTCATATTCATAGTTATTTTATGAGAAGAATTGTTGTTTATTGTTTATTTTAGTTAGGATCTGATGTTTTTGGAAATGAATATCTGCAGCGTTTGAAATTGGAAGATGTTAATGTATCGCATGTAACTTTGAAGAAAAATATTCACAGCGGCATAGCACAAATTACAGTTGCAAATAATGGTACCTAACTTAGTCTTCGGTTCACAATTTCAAATTAATTAGATCTTATGTATATTACAGGAGAAAATACAATTGTAATTGTACCTGGGGCTAATACATTACTAAGTACTGAAGATGTGGATGCAGCTGCTGATATAATTAGGAATGCTCCAGTTTTATTATGTCAATTTGAAATTCCATTAGAAACAACTTTACATGCTTTAAAACTGCACCAAAATCATGGTTTGATTTCATTAATAGCTTAGTTTAGAATTGATACCAATGAATTAATTGATTGTGATTTTTGTTTGCAACAGGACTTTCAATTTTGAATGGAGCACCAGCATTGGCTAATCCTAATCCTGAGTTACTCAAGGCATGTGATATATTTTGCGTTAACGAAACTGAGGTATTACCATCATAAACTATTTATCTTGCATTATATCAAATCAATGTATAGTAAGTTAACTAGCTGCATTAATAAACGCATTGAACATTCACCATTTTAGACAGAAATTATGACAGGCATTCAGCCCCTATCTCTCTCAAATGCACAAGAAGCTATCGACATCCTCTTATCACAAGGATGCAATACCGTGATATTAACTTTAGGGGCTTTAGGTGCTCTTCTTGCATCTAAGGAAAGCACTAAGTTTATACATATTGTAACTGAACAAGTGGATCCTGTAGATACAACTGTAAGTAACATATATTAGAAATTCTACAGAATCATGTTGCATATCGATGTTAAAGGAAGATTTTATATTTAGGGTGCCGGAGATGCTTTTCTAGGTGCCTTTGCATATTTCAGAGCTTATCACTCACACCTTTCACTAGAAGAAAGTATCCGAAGGGCCTGTCAAGTTGCTACTGTATCAGTTTTAAAAACTGGAACGCAAACAAGTTTTCCTACGAAAAAAAATCTCCCAGCATCATTATTTTCCTAATTAAGGCAAATAAAATAAGACACATGAAAAATTTCTTTGTGATTAACATTCTTTTTACCTATGGACAAAAGTTGAAACCATACGACAATAAAACAACTTTAAATATACGTGAAAACTACCAAAACCTGTTGTCAATTACACTTAACATGTTATACAAATACACAGTCAAACATGTATAGATTACAATTTATAAGAAATAAGTCATTATATACAATTTTTTCATTTATCTAAAATAACCAAACACCTTTATTATTTCTACGTTATACATTTTTCAAATACAATATTACTGTGACTATCGCGTTCAATAAGTCGCCATATATCTTAATATCCCAGTGTGAAATCAATTTGTATCTATTTAATCTCAACAATAACGTCTGGAAGCTAGACAATATACTTTTTTTATTTCTTCTGAAGTTCTTATGCCATGCGCGTAATGTCGTGCTTACCAGTGCTTACCTTCAGTATACCACAAGCTCGTCTTACAGTCTTTAATGTACTCAGATTTCAAATTTAATTAAACAGAACTTTTAACAAAAAAGTAATCCAACTGTTCCTATTTATTTATTTATTAAGTGCTAACGTCTTGTACCGAGTTATTTAAATGTAAGACATCTGTCGTGGAGTGGGAGGATTTCAAAATAGAAAAGTATTTTCATCGAGCAATGTGAAAGTACTTGCTGTCGCAGCCGTCTTTGCATTCGTTTTCTATACAGTTGTGTGCTTTGTCGAACATGTTAAATGGTTCAACGCAAGTACTTGAGCTTCCGGAAAATAATCACTGTAGCAAAGATGCTCTTACCAATATGCTGGGATGGTTCCTACAAGTTATGTTGGCCGGTCTCGCCTTCACGTGCCTTATTTGTGAGAATTATTAATTCCTTAATATTTAGGTTAATTTTTTTTATCTACAAAGATACAGTAATTAGCAAATACATTTTTTTGTATCACCCATCAAATTTTCTTTATGTCACTGACGTTATAATTTTTTTGTAATTTCTTTTATCCATACTCATCTGTCAGATATCGCTTTTTTTTATCTTGTTTTAAATATGAGTACAAATTTAGTTTTATGAAATTTATTTGTGAATTATATCTTTTCTCATTATTTTATTGTTATTACAACTTTTAATTGTTAATGATGCTTTTCTTTTTGGTATTGAAAATTTGTGCATATCTTTTGCTCTTGAATTTGTGTTTTAATTTTCAACTATGAATTTTATCAAAATATTAGATGAAACTAATGTTCACTTTATTTGTCTTATGAATGATGATCTTTATTAATTGGAAATCAATTTTTGATTGAAACGATATAATAAATGCATTTAATATTTCTAGCCTGAAGCTAATTGTTTGTAGTCGCAGTAATCAATCATCATTTTAATGATTAAGGAAATCTGTGTTACAGTAAAAAGATTTTGTGAGCCAAGATATGAACGGAGACCATGGTTGATATGGTTTTATGATACTAGCAAACAAGGACTTGGTGCGCTTGTTATTCATTTGGCAAACGTTTACCTAGCTAGTCGTTTTCAGGGTGATCCCTGTACTTGGTAAGTTTTCTATGAGTATCGAATAGTTTTAAAATAGATATATAGTCCTTTATGACCTAAGCTCACCTTTTTATATTCTCAACATATTTCATTTGTCATATAATTTTATGTACTCAATGTTTTATAGTAAAAACTGGCAATTCAACCATTGCTTTGGAAAATGCATGTCTGGCTTGGAAAACATGCTTATACTACAATATTAATGAATTCGTACATTATGAATCAAGTTTCACGAGTAGAAGGTCGTTAATTATATTGAAATTGCATGTGGGCATATCTTCATCTGATAATTCATTATAATTATCATGCATGCTTCATTTCATATATAACATATCACATATTAATTCCTTAATACATTAGTTTAGATTCAGATATATTTAATAAGAAACCTATGTTATGTATACGAAAACATAATATTTGTTACTTTAGAAACTTCTTGTTTTATATTGTTATTTGATCAATCTATTATTCTTACGTATTTCATTAGAGAAATCACTTAACGAGACTACAAGTGGCAAAGAATACCTCATTATACATATTTATAACACTTTGTTTGATTACATTGCAAATAAATAACTATTATGTTTCATGTGTGTATAGATTTGAGAAATTATTTTTTTACTATTTACTCATATTACACCTTGCTAATACAACATTATTCCCATATATTTTTGATTCTAGGTATATAATCAATTTTCTTCTCGATTCATCAGTTGGTCTACTGATTATATGGATAGGCATTAGATTTTCCCAATGCTTGGCTCGTACTAAACAGTGGGAAGCCATCAACTTTGGAGAGTACGGTAAGTAGATATTCAAGAATATACTATAATTTCTACCTTCGCTCATCAGACTAAAATCAAAGTTTTCTACTTTTATTGTTACAGTTCATCAATGAAATCGTATATATTCTGAATTTAAAAAAAAAAGAAAAAATGTATTCAACACCATGAACACAATTAAATAAATCAAAACAGTCCGTTAGCAAAAGAATGCAGGGGTCTCTTCTAAAATAACTAAATCATTGATACGAAAAAAGGCATGTTTAATGGAGCAAAATCAATTTTGTAAAAATCATTGTACTATATCAAAACATCTTTCAACTAAAGAAACTGACCCCTAATTTGATTCTGTTAAAGATATTGTCATGCATGTCATAATGTTTCTATCAGTTGCACATTTTACCGCCAAAATGACTGATTATACTAAATAGCAATTATTTTTTGTGCAGGTAAACCTCCGTCTGTAAATGCGTGGCTAGCGCAATGCATTCTGTACGTGATGCTGATGATAATAGTAAAAATATGCATTACATTATTAATCCAGTTAGATTTCTGGGATCGAGTAAAGGACTGGATACTGGCACCAATCACGAATCCTCAGGTAGAGCTCGCGATCGTCATGCTGGTCATACCGTTCTTTGTAAACGTATGTAGTGAAATTTAATATTTAACAATACAAAAAGTGTTTCTCCGTGAAAAAGCCTTAAAACTATAATTTCTTGTTCCTTTTTTTTTCAGGCTTTGATGTTTTGGGTTACGGATAATTTCCTAATGCGAAAATCCAGACACATAAGTGCTGTCAAAGATCCGTCCTTACTGCAGCGTGTTAAGATTCGATATCGACGTATTCGCAAGGATAAACGAGATGAATCTGAATCTGATGTTTTATTATCAGCTGACGAGGACTTATTAGATGCTGATGATCATTCTCAACATTTAACAGTTGCCACGTAATAGGAAAAAAAAAGGTTCATGATCATTGGTATAAGACTGCCATTGTCGAAGTGGCAGCCATTATTTTGAATTTTATGTCTTCAATAAGTGTCCAAGTTCTAAACTCGGAATATCATTTTATTTTAAGATTTTTTCTACTTTTCCTTGATCTGAGGTTTCTCAGATTGAATAATTGTTGAACTTCATCGAACAAAAAATTTGTGCGAAACATCATGTAATAATATTCTCTTCGTGGGATAACAATAACGTCATGTAATGGATTAAAGTCGAATTTATTTATATAATAAGCTTTTGCTGTGGTTGATCATGATAGATTTCTTGCAATAATTCGTGAAATAACTTACTAATTGATCTACTGAAGCCGTTTGTCATTTTAATGTGTATGAGACAAATGAGAGATATTGAATCTGCTGGACTATAATATTAATAGCTCAGATATAATTCTGATGAAGGAGAATTTTTTTTATTTATACGTAATACTATTTTCCATGCCGCTATTAGTCCAAGTATCAACGTACATTATACAGAAATTATTGATTTCTCTAGTATTATTTACCTGTAATGTACTCGCCCTTTCATTCATATTAACGCGATATCGTACGCAGCTGCTGTCAAGCAAAATAGATAAAATATCATATTGATGTAAAGAGACCCTTTCGAAATTAATTGGTTGCAAAATGAGATCCTTAATTGGTTATAACTCAACATTTCGAACAATTTTGATGAATTAAAAATCGGGTTTCCAAGTTTTTCGACTAATCCGACGAAGGTCTGAAGGGCTCCCTGATAGTAACATTTGTATAGAAATATAACAAAAAATGTCCAGTTGCAATGAAATATGTAACCGCTGGTGAATGGAATTATGAATGTTGATGAGTTCTCAAGATATCGTCAACATACTATGGGGTAAATTGTGCTGTATTTATTTTCTAAAAACAATGTAATTATCATGCATACAATCTAGCTTGTCGCATTAACGTATGCTAGAGGGTGGAGTTCAATCGCAAATGAACTGTCGAAATAGGATGTATAAATTAGTTTTATGTACATATATAGCGAGAAGAAAGTAATTCTATCATATTTTGAAATATTATTTGTGTCTGTGATAAAATGCATAGCCAGAGCGCTTTGTCGAGACTTGAATTTCAATATTACTTGATTTAAATTAATTCTCTCTTCCTTTTTTTATTCAAATTTCCGTCCAGCATACGACGAGAAATTAAAAGTGAACGATCCATGACTCTGAATTTTAATCTTATCTTCAGTAAGCATCGACCAAAGATATAGTTTGAAATAGAAATAAAAGAAATTAGCAGTAAATTATTTTGCGATACGATGAAAAATCGAATCGATGTATGTAAACTGCGTTTCGTTCAAAAATATATACATCTCGAGCAATGATGTAGAAGTTGATAACAGATTCTTACGAAGTACGTGGAACACAATTGTAACACAGCTACAAAGTCGCATATCAGTATAAAAATGTATAAATATAATTTACTTTTCAATAACAATTAATAATATTGAAAATTAAAACGATATGGAACGTATGTCGATTTTAGGAAAAAAATTCGATCGAATTTCATGTCCAGCAAGACTAACCGATTTAAATATATTATTGAATTATTTTTAAACGGCAATGTAACAAATGTATTTATTTTAAGCTTCGCAAGATACAGGAAATCATAATGTTTTACTATAAATCATGTATACGCATTATTGTCTGTTCCACATGCTCTGTGTCACATAATTGGAACAATACTGAGATTAGTTATATTTTTAAAATTATAACAATAACGATTACGATATGTTATATTTTTAATAAACACTATTGAGAAAGAATCAAAATTCGATTACCCAAAATCTTTAAGAAAACATTCCCAATAATAAAGGTTCTACGATTTAATTTTCAAGTGGCAGCGTGAATGTTTTAAAAATCTCAGCCAAGACAGAAGTCGACGTTTGTTATCGCATCGCTAGACATTTTGACTAAAATTAAAGCGTTGTCGGGCGTCGCGACGACCCTCCGACAAGCAGCAACGCCTCCCTAGACAGCTTTATTTATCGTCAGGTTAAGACAAAGCAGACTAATTTATTTGCTGGACGGTTTGTTAACCACGCGACTGGAAAACAGATGTGGCCTATGCGCCACGTAGTCTTTTCCATTACCCAGTGTGACATAAACTCCCGTTTCGGTATCTTATTCTTCCAACTTGTGATTTATGATCTTGCCTGGTTCGTACGTTGACGCTAGTCGACTTCCCAATGTGAAAATAGTTACGTCATATGACGCTAGATGGACACCTTGCTGTGCGTTCTCGCTAGAGAAAGTGCATTGCGGTGTGCACAAAAGGTCCATTCTAAATGTGAAACGTTACTCTGGTTTCCCTTCAAAATACGCATAAATCTTTCGCCTTTTACTAAAGATTTCCGTGGAGGGGAACACTTGATGAGTCTAAAGACCAATTTTTTGTGTGCCCGGCGCAAGCTGGGTCGTAATAAATATTCAAACATAAGTTGGGTAATATTTATCCAAAAGCTATAAACGGGTACAGTAAAACGTTGGATCCGTTTTGGAAAATACCAACCTTCTACTGCATTTCTCTTGTAATGAATTATTCGAGTATGACGTTTTTCACGAGCGTGATGAATAATACGACTAGGAAAAAGAATCCTCCGTGGTACTAAAGTTAAAGCCATAGAGTATGTTCCGTTCGTGTAAGACGTTAGCAGAGTGGCGTTAAAAAATCTTTTCGCTTCCGTAATTCATCTGAAGCCCGCGCTTTAATGGCGCATTTAATCCCCGGTATAAGAATCTCGCCGTGTTTTCATTTTATTTTTAACTCTCGCCACACCGCAAGAAGAAGCGTGGGAGGCAGGGAGCTTGTACCATAGGCTTGTACCCCAGCGAACCCTCCTCTTCTTCTTCTTCTTCTTCTTCTTCGTCTTACTCCCCCACCAAGATTGTAGACTTCAGAATTGAGTCAGTCAGACAGCAACCGTCCTGCGTATCGGTATAAAGGCGGTTCAACATTGTTCCTTAAATCCATCACTAACCACACAATTTTAACAACCATGGCTAGCCCCGTATCCAACGTCCATCGTTATCTTAGTGCAAGACCGTGCTATGTAAATTCATAAAAACCATAAAAATTGTATAAATCAGTAAATGAAACAATAAAAATCAGGAGTCCCATCTCCACGTGGGAATCTACTAAATTCCTTTTATTAAAAGAACCCTAATTTAAATACGAAAGTTCGTTAATGAGGGCCAAGCAACAACCACCGATCGATCTGATCGATCTAGTGAAGAGCTCGAAGATCGAGTCACTTACTAGATGCTGCGGCAGAACAACCGGTATGGATAGCGAATCTTCCCGAGAAGCTGGAAGTCGCGTCTCGAAGGAGACGTTCATCTTTGGCAGTTGGAAGCGTAGAAGCAAGAGACGAGCAGCTGTCACTGTCGCTGTCAGACCAGTTTCCATGGACAACGACGAGACTGAAAGGTTCGTTTCCATCGAATAATACATAAACGAGAAAGTCCTTAATGCGACGAGCGAATGCTGTAAAAAGAAGTAGACGACCGGGAACAGTTCTATTCCTGAAGCGTACAGCCTCGATGTCAGAACGCGGATTCCTTAAGATAGCTAACGAAATAACTTGAATACCAAACGGTCCCAGTAATTCCAACCTGCAGACTTAAAATTCCTACGGTCTGCTTGAAAATAGCAAGTAACGATAATCGACGCTGGAAACCCATAAATAAATTCTATTAGAATATACGTAATACAAATAATATTTTCAATCTGATAAATAACTCTATAACACGGTAACGTATCGTATAATCCTACGTATATACATATATCCCACGTTACGAAATACACATATATACCCAGTGTTACAAAATTGGCTGTCGGACTAAATAACCAGCGTAACGTCATACCCGCGAAAAATACGTACGATTACTCTAGAGTATATCTTTAGATCGTGCCAAAGCAGCTCGAGAGATCGAGTAAAATAAATTTGTTTTTATACCAGCTAATTTTGGTTTGGCATAAAAAAAATAAGCTCAGACGTAGCAAAGCAAACAGGTACAGCAGCAAAGACACGACGGTTTGTCCAATACGAATATCATTGAATATAATTTTAAAAGTTGGACAAGAATTTATTCGCAACTCTCCAGCCGTCCACTTCTTCGCGTTATGTACAACAAGGCAAAGTTATGCTCGTGCAGTTTGGACGTTCGAAACTGGCGATTCTATAGATAGAAACATTTGAGCCATTGTAACTGACCTCAGTTGCTCGAGGCCTCACGACCGCGGGATCAAAAAGAAAAGACCTTAACGGCCAGTCGAGCCAAGAGCGTGACTCTGCCTTAAAGTTCATTTAGCTATTTTCCTCAGCCTCGTTTTAAGTGACTTAGAATATACATATACACATACATCTGTGCCGTGTTTATGCACGCGTGACTATAAAGTCTAACCTGCGTTTCTCAACGCGAAATTCACTAGACTCGAGCCAAGAAGTGCAAAGCACAAATTGAATCATGTATTTGGGTCTTGTGATATTTCACTTAAGCATAAACCGTGTGGCTTTCACAGTAGAAATAACAACCGATCCAAAGCGCTGCCACAGAGTCAGAGGAGCTCAACTTATTATCCGTCCTCGTGCACGTCGTCGTTCAATCCCGAGTGCCAGATACACGATATGACTGATCCACTCGGAGATGAAAAACGTGATGAACGTTTAATCCAGGAGCAGGAAGACGATTATGACGAAGTCGACGACGATTTTTGGTGTCCACGTTGTGCCAGGAAAATGCAGGAGCCAAGACTTCTGCCCTGTCTCCATCCAATTTGTACTCCTTGCGTGGAGGAATTGCTTGATAGAGGTTTGAATAATAAATTATGGTATGGTTATAATTGGATAAAAAAATAAATTGCCAACAGTAAGCTTATTAATGTAACCTTTATTATCGTGGCTCTTGAAATCAATCTCATTGTTGTACTGCACTCTTGTACGGATTGATAATATTTTGCACTGCTGATATCACTCCTGTTGATGAATTTTAAGAACTGAACCTACCCCATATATCTTGGTAATCCATGTATCTCTTTATAACGGCGTATCCTCTTTTATAGCTGGGTCTGACAGCTGTGCAGGATGTTTGGACGTTGCACATGCCTGGCAAAGTCGTGACACGTGGCCCTCGTGGTGCCCACGTGTACCAGCAAATCGTTTAGGTTTAAAATCTCTCACCGTTTGTGTATCCGTGTCTTTGCTATCAGGAATTAATACTGGATGGGTTATGAATGAATAGAGAAGAAACGTGCCAGCCGGAACTTGGGATTGTTTGTACAAGTACTTCCTCCGCGTCTTTGAAGTCATCAGCGTACAGAAGTGCGGTGCAACATGGACTAGGAACAATAAACAGTTATGATCCGAAGGATGATGTGTTTAGGATTTTAAATGGTTCCAGCATCCTGCGCATCGCGTGGTACGGACGCGAAGAATAACCGACCTGGACAATTGTCTGGGTATAGAGAAGGATGTACCATGTGTGATCATCCTATTTTGAGTCCTGGTGCTTCCGTACCGCCACCTCATTATCCGCTTCAACACAGACTCGTTATGGATGCTGTGAGACGACGATTGGCTCATCGAGTTCTGTGCTGTGATGTCTGCCCTGAAGAAGTCCAGGTACCTGGGTCCAACTTTTGTACTGATCTGCTGTAGATGGTCTTACTGATGATGATCATTCATTCTCAAGGCCTCGGTGCACTGTCCGAGGTGTCTTAGGAACTTCTGCTCAGACTGCGGCACAGAGCATCAGGAACAGGAGCTGGGTGTGGGCCTGGAGATGGCGCACGAAGTCAGACCTCTCTGGGAGGCCAAGAGGATCCGCAGGACTGCATTGTGTCTGACCCATCCTTCCCACGCACTACGATTTCATTGTATTGCTTGTCAGCAGGTAAGGATATGATCCGAGCTTGATGATAACAAGTTGATTAGGTCGATTAGATTTTCATTGCTTTTCTATGATCTTGTTGATCTTGACCTAGGTGACCTGTAGAGAATGCATGTGGCGTGGATCCCACAGAGGTCACGCGAGCGAAGGGGCATCAGGAGCGGGTCGAAGAGCAGCGACCTTGATGACAGCTGCACTTCAGAGGGCCAGGACTCTCTTGAATTCGTTGCTCACTGAGTATAATGAACACGTATTCGATAACAGCGACGGACAGGACAGGCCTAGAAGCGCTTACGAATTTGAGAATGGAAGGTATTCCTATAATTATTGCCCTATGACATTTGACAGTCAGATAATCGATCGATAGTCGATAGTGAATAAGTGTTAATAAAATATCGATAACCGTTGATCCAGATGCACGGAGGCCCACGAGTTGAAAGTCTTCCATTCTCGAAGTCGCTCCACCATGTCCTCTCATAGAAAACAGGCACGTGAGAGAATCCAAGAATTTGCCAGGTTACAAAGAGCCAGATATCTTCTGGACGCCATTTCCCTCGGAGAGGAGTTACTTGCGGATGGCTCTGAAGTTGAAATTCTTAGCCTCAGTAGAATCGTCCTCAGGAGACTGAAGACCCTGGGCGTAAAACCAATATTGAGCGAGAGAAATGGTGATTAAAAAAGCCAAAATAACAAATTTTCTTTAATAATTATAAATTATCCACACCAATTAAGCTTCCCTTTGATTTCTCACTGTTACAGAAGTCATCGATAGCTCCAAGACCATCCTCAAGACAGTGCACACCGGTGTCTACCATTGCTGTACATTTTGTTCCAGCGGAGGAAGAAAAGAGGCTACTTGTGCCTGCGGAGGAAGGATGCCAGGTAGTTAAACAAAAGTTATTAACTAAAAAGTGAAAAAGAACAAAACAGAAAATTAATTTAACTTTGATCCTTCGAAGGTGGCTACAAGGGCTGTGGTCATGGACACCCAGGTCACCCAGGTGCAAATCATTGGTCCTGTTGTGGCTCGACTCAATGGCAGAGTTGTTGTTTGGTACCTCGAAAATGCACTTATCAATTATTACTATGACTTGTAAATACAATACAAATACCAACGATACAATTATATACAATATGACACACAATAAACATAATTTCCATTTTGAAAAATTCACAGGTTCTCACATCCACGTCGCCAATGTAAATAACTGATCTTGTACCTGGCCCAGTCTCTTAAAAAATTACACAACACAAATAATAATCAGGATAAAAATACATAGAAAAGTTCAGGTTCATACATTTATTATATATTAATTTTTATTACACTATCTATGTACGTCATAATACTTATGATCCCGCGCTCCTCGAATAAGATCTTATGTAAAGGACCAACAGCGAAAAGGAATTAATCTTGCCAAGTGCAAGAGAGCCATCGTAATCGATATGATCGACAAGAAGAAAATTAATGACGAAAAAAAAAAAATCAAAATTTTCAACGTTACCAACAAAATTACAAAGCGATTGTGCGAAGTGACAAGCGTAAACAGTACGAATGACAATCATAAATCGTACTTCCGGTACGCGTGACGCAAAAAAAAACAGCAAGAACGTATTCGAGCAGCGGGCGTGTAATCGGCAATTTCTCGACTCACAGTTAATATTTTCCTCTGATAAATATTCGAATAATTTATATGGCCAACTCAAGATATGATTCGCGATAACTCTTTCGCACGAATGCTGCGACGTCACCCGACAACAAAAAAAAACCAAAAAAAAAAATTTATCCGACGGCCAAACACTCGTAGACACGCTCCTCGAAGGGTGGTAGGTACATACGTAATATTTTTCATTATTCCTCCTTTCCCCCTTATATGCATATGATAACGGTTGTCGCGCGGCGCGTATTACATGGCAATAACCCGATCAGACCAGCTGTAACCGAGTTTCCACATTCACTTTAAATTTATTAATTATTATTACTCTTCTTTTCTTTTGTGTGCTGTGTACCTTACTCCGATAAAAGCAAACGTCCACCACCGATCGTCACCTTCGCCAACAGCACCGCCGAACACCATTAACCGCTGCCCCAGCGTCCGGCAGTCGCGGATTGCAGGAAAGGGGATACGAGATTCTTGTTACGAGGGATGCGTTTAAGTACACGCCGGTAAGAGCGATACCTTCCTTATCGACTCCTCGTCCCGCTATTATCGCGAACTTTCACAAGATCGCGATGCTTTACAGTATCTGCACCGTGAAACGTCATGGTTCGGAGTTAGTAATTAATCAATTAATTAATCAATAATTTCGATCGCACTGACTTAATTAACACATACAACTAATTACACGATAAATATATTTCATTAAATTTATCACAACTCAATCTCAAGCGCCTAGTAGGCCTATCCGGAAGTTTTCAATGAATTTAAGAAAATATATTCAAAGTGCGTACATATGGGACGCTCTTGGAAATTCGCCGGCGTCTAGCGACGTAATCGAGTGCGGGTAATCTTATGGCGTCCCGAAGCTCCCCGTCACAGTCACTGAGTGACGACTCGTGGGGGGGAGGGGGGATGCAGCTGGTGCCCCCCCCCCCACTCTGTGACAGATGCTTGGTAAGTTTGCCAAGGGTCATACGAAAAATGGAAATTGAGGTAAAAAGGTAAGGTTCAAACAAGGATATATAAAATAATACAAAGAACTTTCCGAATACTTGAAAATCACCCGACGGACAAAGTGATTCCCTATTATCGTACAATAATACTAGTTTTCACTTAAACACGAAATATACTTTATCTCTATACGAAACTTAAACGGAATTAAACGCACCTTAACGGGGCTTAAACCTAGAGAGCACGAAAGTCCCTGCTTTGCGATTGACGTCCGACCTAACCCGAGAGACTCCTTATGCGCTTAGTCGCGTCATCGTACGACGAATACTTTTCTGACAATGTCGATAAAAGATGACGTCACAGTGTAAAATTCACAAATGGCAAAAGACGCCTTCCTACCTGGCAGGCACGTTAATCAAACGCTGAAAATGGATTCGATTGTGACCCAATTACATTTTTTTGTTCATCTTTCTTTTTTTTTGTTCATCCGCCAATAAAGTTTCAGGACACAGATCTGGAACAGATCTTTTTTTTTTTCCTATTTCAACCATTATCGCAGAGCGAAACGCACGCGAACCGATTCCTCTTCTTGTTCGATTTTCGTACGCTTCGTTTCGCGTATACTTTTTTCCCCCGCTATTCGCTGTTTACATATTCTTCGACGAGAAGACGCAATTTTGATTTTGAGATAAAATAAAATTCCGCGCTTATCGTTCCTTTATTTTTATCCCCCCTCCGCGTGAAAACGCTACTTAATTTTTGCCTATATGCTCAGTGCACCTAATGCATAAATTTTCTCCTGCTGATTTCGCACGGCGAATCCTCATTGCGTTACTTTGTATGCACGGATGCGTATATATATATATATGAGAGGTAAAATGGCGGGCAGAGGTGCCTGAGGGTAAGACAGAGATATTCGTGTGGCGTGTGTCAATGTGTTTTGTCCCCTTCTATTCGTCGCGCTACGCTCAATACCGTTTTCATTGGCAGCATTGGAGATGAAAATAAAAAATAAATACTACTACGACAATTATATTAATTCTCTTTTAAATATATATTAAACATGCAACACACGCACGCTCATTATCTTCTTCTTCGCTTTGTTCTATTACTATATATTTCTTTTTTTTCTCTTCCATTCTCTCCCAGAGATATACACGCGACCGTCGCCAATGACTCAGCGACTCATCCAACTCAGGTTCGCGTACCGGAAGTATGCAAAAGCGAATTTTCCTTTTTTCTTGTCGCAAATTCTTCGCCACATTGAACATATAAACACCATCGCTATTGCACACCAGCTATTGCCTTGACCGTGTGGACTTCGTCTACGATAATTTTATAAATCAGAAGCGACGTTTCGCGATCGACTCGGCGTTAACAATGTTATTTTTCTCATTCGCTCTTCCGATAGGGTCGACGCAGGAAATGCGGAAAGTCCCGGAAACGAAAATAAAAGTTAATATCCATTGTGCTAACGGACGCCTCCGAAGACGGAAGAAACATTTTTTTTTGTTAAATTCCGTAAGAGCTCAGGGTACTCGAATTTGTATAATTTTCTATATCCGCTTTATCCGCCAAGAGACGCCTTCTGTAAGCGCTACATTTCCTAAACGATTATTCGCACGTTGGTTCGTTCTCTACTTCTCTTTTTTTTTGTATTTCTCTAATATTCTCAAAACAAGTAAAACGCATGCGCGACATTACAGACAGCAGCTTCTCCTACTTTCCCACCGGACCATATGCATGTAACGAAGTTTCGACCTCCGACCGAGAGACGCACGTTACGCCGTTAAAAGGAAAAATCCTCGTTATATCAGCTTCACAGTGGACGACGAAGATGAGCAGATACAGTATATACACGTAGGAGTTCTGTGCGTACCAATAGTGCGTATTAATGCCCAAATGGGTGCGTCGTCGTGCGCGCGCATGCATACGTGCGTGACGCGTTCGATTAATATAAGAAAAGCGCAAAAAGGATCCTGCAACCCTGTGATCGTAGATCGAAAAACGCAAGTCGCCAGGTCCCGGAGGTTGGGACGAGGTAAGAAATTCACGACGCGCGAGTCCCGATCGCACGAATGACGTAACTGTCGGAACGGTAGGAAAAAGAGGAAAAAAAACCGAGCAGTTCGTCGAACACCGAAGGATCGTTTCGATCAGATAGAAGCGCAACAGCGAAAGCACGAAAATTCCGTCGACTAATAAATATTGTCGACTTTCCGCGAGGGCACCACCCCCCATTCGTCACGCTCCTGAACGTTCTTGGACACTGTTGCCCTTAGCAACTCCACTCACAATTAGATTAACGCACTCGCGCACAGACGGACAAGTAAAGACGGTATGCAGTCACACGCAATCTCACATTTACACTCGGAGTTACATTCGCAATGTAAGTATATGATACAGTCGAGCGTTCGTTATTTACTTTTGTTTTTAAATACACGCATCACTTCAACTGCCGTTCGTCTTCCTCGTTCGTCACAAGAATTTGGCCCATAGCCTCTAAGAGTGCTAGTTTCGTGTAACGACGATCAGCGCGCGCCGAACCGATTCTTTTCTTAATTTTTTCTTTTTTTTTTATCTTAGAAAAAATGGACATTGGAGGTCGTCGAAACGTGGTCCATACGTCGAAAAATTCGACGAGTATAGTACAATTAGATACAAGATAGTTAAGAAATAGGGTGAGGGGGAGGGGGTCCTTTCTTTTTCAGTGGAGCAATGCCTCTTCGTTACTCCCCCGGCTGAAACGTCGTACCAGCTGGATTTAGGTTATTATTGCAAACAACGAACGACCATTGTGAGATTAATGGCGTTCGAGTAACACTGTGGGATTGTCGTAAGCGACTGTTACCTTATCGCCAATTTGCTCGATCGCAGAGCATCGAGTTATTACGTTAAAAAAGATCTCGTGGAGCCTCGTGAATGAGAAAGCGACACGACGCGTCGGGCGCAGGTAGAAAAAGGACGATGAGGAACGTGGCTCCCTCTTGATGGACTTTGTTCGCGTTGATGGCCGAGTTTTAAAGAAATTTTAATAAAAAGAAAAGAGAAATAAAATACTGAATAGCTAATCGTACGTCTTCGTGCGATAGCTTGACGCTACTTTCTTTTTTCTTTTTCTTTTTTTTCTTTACTCTTTTTCCGATTTCTCTCTCTCTCTCTCTCTCTCTCTCTCTCTCTCTCTCTCTCTCTCTCTCTCTCTCTCTCTCTCTCTCTCTCTCTCTCTCTCTCTCTCTCTCTCTCTCGCGATATTCTTACTTTGCTATCATACTGTTTACATATTTTCGACACAAGTAACGTTTCTTACAGTATTACCGTTGAGGAGAATTTTTTTTTCGTTTGACAGAGAGGGAGACACGAGAGACAGGAGCGGGAGAAACCGAAGAATTTAAAAGAGAACGAATAAAAAAAAACTTGATCACAAGAACAAAGAAAAATTTCGGAAATGGAAGTGGATTGTTAAAAAGAGAGAGAGAGAGAGAAATGGTTGAAAAAATATAACAAGATCGAAGACGCTTGGATAAAAAGAACACATAAAATGGCGTCGACGATTGTTCTCGCTTTGAAACATCGAATGAAGAATTTACGTATTTAATAATACTTCTCTTCCTTTTCTGTTTTTTTTTTTTTTTTACTTCGGGCTAATAAAACACATAGCTGGTTGCTTCCATAGTAACCGGCTACTCGCGAGATTACCCATTATTCCTAAATCGATACTCGTTTACGCTTTTACGCATTCGAGACACTTTTAAGATCGACATACGTCACGCCATTACGTCGAAACGATTACCGTAACAATACTGCGACGCATATGTCGTTTCTTGTATTTCTGTAATACCCAACAAATTCAATCTTAATCCTAATCGTAAAGGAAGTGGGAATTCTTTCGCGATCGTCAATCGAACGTATACCTCGAAGCTGAATACTTTCAGAAACGGTTCAATCGTGTAATTTAAGATAAGAATAACAAATTCGCTATAAAAAGAAAACCGCTTCAACCGTTGAACCTGACGGTACGAAAATATAAAGATCTTTGTCAAGAGATTCCATAAATAATAAACATAAATTGAATGAGATCTATGTGGATAGTGAGTATACATGTACAGTTGTGTAAGCATGGGTGTGTGTAAGAGTAAATCTGCGTATAAGAGTAGAAGAAAGAGAGAGGATGAAAAACATCTGAATCAAGATAAAAAAAAAAAGGAAAAAAAAGACAAAGAGAATCTTATCTTGTGGCAATATTAAAAAAAAAAAGAAGAAATAAGTGAATCGTTAATAATGAACTATCGGTGGACTTCGAAAGCAGACGATTTCTACTTGTCTAACATCGGGATTTCATAGCACGAATGTAGACGACTGCAAACTCGAAGATTTAACATTGAAAAACATCGAATGCTCGTGCCACGTTTTTTTTTCCCCTTTTTTCTCCCCCTAGAAGACGGCGATCTTCTAATAATGCGAATTCGAAAAATATACACAGATTCGCTGTGTATATATATATATATATATATATGTGCTTTTAACCCCTTTTTCTTCTCTCAGAGCAATTTTCATATTAATACGATTTTTTTAATCTTCCACTTTGGCCCATTACTCTCTTATCTCAGAAACACGCGGAGCGATAAAGATACTCGACGACGCGTCGATACCGACGCGAAAGCTTTGCTCGCGTCCTTCGACGCCGTTTACCGTGATAAAGCGAATTGTGCGTGACGCTCGATCGCGAAATCTACAGTAAGATTTGTCGCCATATTTATATTCATTATCCCGTACCGTGCGTGCTCAGCTTGAAATTCGCCTCTGCGCAGAACCGTTTCAGTCAGATTCCCCACGTGCTTCTCGGAGTGAATTCGCAGGCACAGTCAGAGAACTCGAGCGCGTAACCGTGAAATAGAAGAAAAATTAAACGAAAAAGAAAAAGGAAACCAATGACAAAAAAAAAAGAACGAATAAATAACGACAGAACGGACATCGAAAGTACGTTGACTAATTATTAAATAGCAGTGAGTGCATGAAAATCGTAAACCGCGAGATAAAGAAAAACAAAGCAGACGGACGCATTAAGTAAATTCGTCAGCACTCGGACAACGAGAGCAAGTAGAGAAGCAGAGCAAAAATTCTCGTAAGTAGCGAAGATCGTCGCCGGTCCCTCCCCCCAGCCTCTCGTACACCCTTCGACGCACCTTCGTTTACCCAATTTCCCGCTAGACGGCGCAGTCAACTTCCGCAGCGCAAACGTCCTATTAACAATGGCCAGTCGCATTCAATGCTCTACAGCGGTATAACAAATGGTTAAACATAGCCGTGTGACATACGGTGAATATATCTCTCGTGTACACGCACGTGGGTGGTGAGGGGGGGACTCTCTAATTAGCGCGCGAACGTACGAGCGTCGTCTTTAGAAGTTTACTTAAAATACTTGAATGAGGTTCACAAGCGGGTGGTAGAAGTTTCTGATCATTAAACGCCGTGGTACGGTTCGACTTTCCGCGATGCAGCGTCGCGTCGTGATGTTCCGTGACGGCGGCAGCTCATCGGATATCGGATATATCGGTTTTACTGCCGAATATCTTTACGAGCTGATCCTCGTAGTCGTCGATGTTGCGCTTCATTAGTTCCATGCACGGACCCAGGAGGCGCTCGAATGCTTCCACGTCGAGGACTGTATAAAAAGAGAAGGAGATATAAAAAAGAGGTTAAGAAAAAATAAATAACCTTCAAAAATATTATTCATATCCTTTCCAAAGATTCTCATGTAACTTCCTTCGCGTTTCCCTCTCGCTTAACGGAAGTCGCATACTCACAGGCCAGCTTGACGTTTCCAACGGCGTAGGCCGAAGCTGCACGAGGCTTGTGCGTAACGAGAGCCAGCTCTCCCAAATATCCACCGGCGGGTACGCGATTGATCTACAAGCAAGACAACCTCGTGATTTACACATGTAAAACTTAAGTGCCTCCCCGAGGAACTCAAACTCGAGTATCCTCAATGCAAATTCTCCGCCAACAGGTGACGGGCGTACGACAAGCGTATGGATTGAATATAAAATAAATAAAATAGATATCAACCTCGACTTCACGGCCGTTGTCACCGAGTTTGGTGATCCTCACTACGCCGTCCTCAACGAAATACATCCCGTCGGCTATGTCTCCCTGTCGTATGATCCTCTCGCCGTCGGAAAAGTGTTTTGGCACCAGTGCGTCCGCCAGATTCATGCGCTCGTACGACTTAAGAATGTATTTTAAAACGATTTATTCGTTCGTCTTGTTTACTCTAAACGACTCGGGGTCGTGAATTATATTAAAGGCGAATAATCGGGACGTCACCCGTTCTACGAACCTCCAATGACTTTAACATGGGAACCTTGTTGATCAGGTCCTCGTACATCTTGCGCTTCTTGTAGGCAGACTTCAGGAGTATACGACGGAAAGTCTGTCTGTCCATGGCCCAAAGTGTTCCTGGTGTGACGGCCTTCACGCTTGCCGCTCGTGGCATGTTATATAAAAGGGCCAGCTCTCCAAAAGCACCGCTATTGTCATACGTGTGTATCAGAGTATCGTTACCCGAAGCTTCCTTCACGTAGACCTCGAACTTCCCCCTGAAACAGCCAATGGCGATGATCGGTACAATATGTTTTATCGCTTATAGGCACGTGCTAAGAATTTTATTTGGGTGTTAACGGCTGACCACCGATATACAGGGTGTCCCGTATAACGAGTTGAGCAGAGCTGCGGCCTAGACCGGCAAGAGTCAAGCCCGTGGGCATTGTTTGGTATTGTTAAAAATTGATAAGGGTGAAAGTGCAGTGACACTTCCCCACGTCCCACTTCCCACTAATCGAACAAAGACATTCCGAACGGGTGGGAAAGCAGGGCTGTCAGACAAGGGCGACGACGCAACCCCATTCGACTCGTTGGATGGGATGCTCTGTATATATGTAGATGGGTCGGTTAATTTAATTGTTTTTTCGCTTTCTTTTATTAACTGACCTCTCGATGACGTAAAAGTTGTCACCGTCGTCACCTTGTCGTATAATAAATTCACCAGCCTCGACAGTCTTCTCGAACATCGCGTCCAGGACATCGGCCATTTGTTCCTAAACACACAAAGATACGTTCACGCTTTAATGGGGTTCGCAAATTTTTTTTCTTCGAAATAAACATCCAAAATTCTCCAAATTTAGCGCGACTAACGGTAATTACGTAACTTTCGCCACGTGGGCAGTTCTAATGATAAAATTGTTTTTTTTTAATTGTACAATTATCGCGCAACTCGAGCAACATTGAAAATGGCCGAAACGAAGATGCGCAAGTATATTTAGGACATTTTCTGAAATAAAAGTTTTTGCCATTGTCAACAAGATCGACGTTAAAATCTAGCGAAATTAAATATTTCGTGATATCGAAAAAGCAATTTTATTGAATCCTTACGGATTAGAGTCTCTCGTACAGGTAAATTTATGTCTCGACCAGAGAGATCGCTGGACGGTTCGGAATAAAAATAGAAGTCCAATTTTGGTCCGTCCCCCATCATTAAAATATAAAAAGAAAGAGACAGCGACCATTCCCTTTGACAAAGTAGACCTGAAATCGCACGACTGATCATAGAGACTGCTCAAAGAAGCGCCATTCGATTCGTTAAACCGTCAAAGTAGAGAAAGAGAGAAAAAAAGCTATTGATAGAAAATCGAGCGCGAAATTCAAACCGCCAATACCATCGAGCCACAAGTAGACACCGTTGAACGAGGGTCATTTCAGGAAGCCCTCGAATCCCGTGCAGAACTCCAAATTCGGGTGTACGTGAATTTTCAAAAAAATGTTTAAAAAACCCGATACCCTCGTAACAGTCCATATACCTTCTAACGAGAAAATTGTCTCACGAAACGTTAAAAAAAAAGTTTCAAGCAACTAAATATATAAAAGAAAGATAAGAGGAATCCGACAAGACCTACAGCGCCTCTAGTGCCACAATAGTGAAGTACTATTTTGGACGTCTGCGCGGTTCCAGTTCGGCGCCGTTTCATAACTCGCGATTGCAAATGTTCGCAGATCGAAACGTCAGAGTCGTAAATGTCAATGAAAATACACACCCAAGCAGGAATAGAGCGAACGAGTGGCAGCAGAAATACATCTGGGTTATTCGCACCGAGCATTGATCACGCGTTTAGAGCAAGAGCCGTCTACCTCGCATGCCCGAGATTATTGCCCTGGTGAAATTACAGGAGCGACCGACCGATACCAGAAACGCCGACGAATCGACCCGAGTGGTACGATTTGCCGGGTAACGTATATTTGCCCAATCCATCAAAGGATCGATCGACATCCCAAATGCTTTTCTTTGCACATGTATTTTACATAAGTTGAGGATCCGCCTCTGGCAGTTTCAAATTTCCCGCGTCATTGCAGGAACGCCACCGCTGCTACGTGAAAGGGACGCTAAGGTAGGGGGGAGAGAGAGAGAGGTAAAAAGAAAAAAAAGAGAGAGCAAAATTGAACAAGTTTATGCTAACGTTATTGTTTATCCCCTTGTTAATGTCATTGTCAAAGTCATCGTCTTGCGCAACAGTCCATTTCTCGGCAATAACCTTACAGAACACGTAGCCAAGCGTGACGTACTCTACACGTACTCTACGCCGAGCTTCGTTACCCGGCAATAGTTCAAAACGCTACGTAGACACGTTCCCCACGGATTTTAGGTTAGGTTACCAGCACGAGCGCACAGCGTGCCTTCGGCAATGTCCGAGTAACGTGGATAAATGGCTTAATGTTGCTTCTAGATGCGACGTTATTAATCGGAATATTGCATACCCGTGAGACATCGGCAATACCGTTATACTAGGATTAAACAACGGACAATTTATAGCTTGCGGCGAAGGAGGCCAATTCGAAGTAGACTTAAAGCAGGGAGAGTACGCTACTGGGATCATACCGTCAGCGTCGTCAACAAATATTCGGGCGTGTTAAGAAATCAGACAGCACGCGTGAGTTTTGACGCAAAATTTGAATCCATTCTTGGCTCAGGAATCGTCAACCGAATTTTATTGAAAAACATCGAGTTTCAGTGTCCCAGAGACAGAGCTGGCGGACCCACTCCCGGGTTAAGGTCACCTTCGAGAACGTTCCCTGGCTCTGTGGCCGGACTCAAGATTCGCCGTAGAGACCCCTTCGAGAAAATGTATACCCATAGCGTTGTAACCAAATTAGAAAAAAAGAAACAGTCCTTATAAACGACGCGTACAAAATGAACCACTTGGGACGAGTGTTAAGACGGATACAAGTTAACGTAAACAAGAGCGGAAAATGATATAAGACTGTGCATATTATCAGCGTGTAATGTTACGTGCACCGAACCCCTGTGCTGTCGAAGATAGCCGAGAGAGTATAAGGCGCGGTTGTAATATAATTTGAAGGCAAAAGCCTCGTAGCAGGTGTCTGCGCGTGGGTATAATTGGTGAAATAAATTATGATAGGACAACCGAGACTAATAACACTGCAGCCAGTCACGTGCACGTTACGCAGATAGGTGGAGGTTTTAAAAAATCGCAGGGATCAGAGAAATTGAAAATAAAGGTTGTAACTCGTTAGATTATATTGCGCATGGACGTAAGTTGGAAATTTACAGGCTCGATTACGGAACCTCGCGTATATAATAATACCGGGGCTAACGTCATTTTTACTTTATAAATTTCCATATGACTCTCTTTTCTATATGGCTCTTTTCTCTTTGTCCTAAGGAACTGGTAAACACGTCGGTCGCTCGTATGCGTGTGTGAAATATATACTGTATGTGGGTGCGTCGCTTGTGTAAGCATAAGAATGTAGATATGTAAGCAGGGGCTACGCAATGTTTACATTGACGATACTCGGAAGGGCGTCCCGACGGGAATATCGCGTACTAAAGATCCGTACAGAAGATGGCCGCCCGTCTACTTCAGATCGTTAAGATGGACTGGGGAGCGGATCATAGACTCAAAATGGAACTTTGTAATTTATAAGAGTGTAATATAAGATACATTGTGAGTTGACTTTTTTTGCTCAAAACTATATTCAATTATTTAAACATCGGGTCCGCGAGTAAAATATATTATTTTGACAGATCAAGTCCAACGAAATTCCTACGAAGTATCAATCACGTAATTTTCATAAAGCTTATTCGAATTTTATCACACAAAGTATACGCGTGGTTTCGAAAATGGAGCTCTTTGGAAATACGTAGGAAATAACGTGGGATGCAAGTAAACAAGGGATAAGAAGAATAAAAAAAATAACAACCGAGCAAAACGTAACCAATATGACGACGTCTTACGGAATTGCAATGCCAGAATTGGAAGAATGTCTTCTTTGTATTCGTGTCAAGTTCAGAAATCTGACACTTGGCCCTCTACGAGGGCATAGAGCCAGACGAGAAACACGAAGAAAAGAAGTTTAGAAACGTGATCGGAAATATGTTTCGGTAACTAAGAAATGTCGTTCTGACATCAAGAAACACACGATACTCATTGCGAATCGTGCGATTGCAAGAATTTGAACATTGAACAAGAACTACTTATGATTGTAATATTCGGATTATATACTCCACGCATGAAATTGAATAGCATGCTATACGCATACTAAAAAAAAATTCTTCACACAACGATTAGTATATATACCTTATCTAGGGCGCGGAATAGAAGAATTGTTTTGACGCTCTCGCTAAGCCTCTGTCGCTGCTCGTCACTCTTTGGATGTACCATCTGCAACAATAACAAGACATATTATACGATGGATATTCGTGAGGTGATATATAACGATATAAAATAATGTTACGTCGAAAGGAAATCATGATTTTTGACAGTAATTAGCATGGAGACAAGGTCGAAAAATTCTTCAATGTTAACGACAACATCGATATTAATTTAAACGTTATTGGCCAATCGGCGTGTTAGACAGCAGTGACGTCAATACCCAGCTCAGGAGATACTGGCCAATCGGTGTCTCGGTATAACGTGACGTCACGTGGTTGTCATATCCCTTAAGGCAGCATAGAAAAAAGTCCAACAAAAAGTCCCATACAGTCCCCACGACCACTTCATATAAAATTATACGAAGCTTCCAGCGTTTATTCGCCATTTTGAATTTACAACAAGCGACTAAAGATAGTCATCCGTCTCCTGGCGTGTACGGTACACGTTTCCAACAAACATATCGCTTGGGTATAAACTGCGCAATATCAAAGAAGAAAAAGAATATCAGGTCCGGCAAAGAATGTAAATCTGTGAACGCGACATAGTAGCGATTACGAGAACGTTCGCAGAGCAGGACAATAAAATCCCAAGGAACTAAGTAACAAGGAAGAAGGCACGGAAGCATTCGACGAGGCCGAAAATAGCCGCTTTGACTTTCCAGGTGTAAATCGCGTACAGTCGAGCTTTTGCGGAAGTGCGCGACCGCCATGTTGAACTTTCGAATATACGAGAGAAATTCCTATATCGGCGTCCAGGTCGCACAAGCGTTGCTTATGTGTATGGCTGCCATTTTGAACATCAAGTCAAGACCCACAACTTCATCTCCAGCAAGAAAAATATACATACCTATAATACCAATTCTGAGCTGGTGATATCGAAAGAGTACCAGAGATCTGCTGCGTCTGAGAGCCGTCTAACTGGGTTACTAGGTACATCATATCGGTATGTTTTCATTTAAACCGAAAGAACAGAACGAGAACGAAATATTAAACAAAGACCAATTGTCTCCTGGATCATCGTGCGGAGAGCAGTCTCTATTTAAACAAGTACACGGGTAGGTGGCTCTAGGCGGATAGGTAAGTCGTCTATACCTGCAAGTTATCGAACACGTGTTAACTCGCTCGCTGACGTCACAAAGGCACGTTGTTCGCACGCATCGTCAAGCAAAAGCAAGCAGTTAGCCTGGCTGGCTTCCCGACTCTCCTTCGTGCTACACCCTACAGTGTGTGCCCATGCTATATCTACGCTTAAGCAGATGCAGGGACGTGGGCTTGATACAACCCTCTAGTATAGTAAGCGCCGCACAAAAGACGCCAATATCGCCGGCTGCAGCCTCGATGGCCATAATGGATTTATAGCATTTTCAAAAATTCTTTAACGTATATATTTCTCAAAATTCAAATTCCTATATTGACAAAATCCTTAATACTTTTGGTAACTGGGTCAAACGAACGCGAATAGGTATGAGGAAGCATTCCGAGGAACGAAAATGATTACGTGCTTTATTGGGCGAGGCAAAGTCGCTCGCTAAGTGGAAACGGGACTTTAGGATGCCGAAAGGGTAACGTTACGTTGTAGACCAGTAGTTCTGGTGCTACTTGACTAAAATCAATGAAAGCCTCTTCGCTGTGTCTCGTCATCTTGCTCTTCCGCCGTGTGTTCTTGTCCGCGACTACGTCATAAACACAGCCTTTTTACATAACACGTCAGCTACTAGCTGAATCGTGTAACTACGGTGACACTATCTCCTTTTTCTCCTCCCACATTTTCCTTGGTGCCGTGAGCGACGTAAAAACTTGCCTCGAATATCCGTATCGAATTGAACGTACGAGATCGACGCGATTAAAACCACGAAAAATCATTTGACACCGGGTTACCTAAGTTTTTACGTGCCTACGTACCTAGTGTGAGACTACCTTTAAACGAGCGCCCAAGCTATTTATAACGTGCAATGGAGGTGGAACGTCGTTGAGCGAAAATTTCTAATGCGGTCGATCGCCGTTTACGGATTCGCCCTAAGGTAACCGTAAGGGATCCCATTTCGAAAGGGCACGAACTTATTTAAGTCCAAGGTAGATGTCGCCGTCGGCGCGACGGAACGGTTCGCCGTTGACGAAGTCGACGACGCGACACCGGAGAAGGAACGTTATGCTAAATACTTATTGTACATTTACATTTAATTATAGTGATTAATAGTCACGCGACCCATAAAGGGGGGGACTTTAATTAACATACCTATAAATATAACGACGGACACGGAGACACTTCCCGATGCTTTCAAACAATTTTGTTCTACGTACACGACGTAGGACGCGTCAAATTTATATTCGTAATTCCAATTTGATTTCCGCTCTTTATTAATTACGTGCTCATCATCCCCCGTTGCTCAGGGCGACGTCGAATAATCGAAGAAATATCAAGGGAAGCATGTAAATAATTATGCTTGGAAACGTCCTACGCTTTCTCTTCGGTGGGATCGATCAAATCGCCGCGTGCGCCGCAGTAAACATAACCCTAATAATCACGACCAGTGGCCGTAAGTGGCAGTGCGCTTAATTTCTTTATTTCACAAATCTGCATGGTCCCGTCGTGACCATGTCACCGTCACGTCACCGTCGTCACCGTCGTCACCCCACTCGTTCCTATTTTATTTACACCCAGTATAACATTTTCAACGATGGATCCCAGACACCGGTCGCTTCAGCCAGCGCATCTGAATTATCCGAGCCATCCCGTATCGCGATTCAGTTGGAAACATTTTTCAAAAATATTCTTCGCCGTTCGTTCCCACCCACTTTGCGCGCAGCGGAGCGTACCTGTGGAGGGGAGGGGGAGGGGGGTCAACAATTTTTACAACTCCATAATTTATACTTTTCGTAATAACAACATCCGTCCCTACACTCGGCAAGAGTACACCCGACTAATTTTTATCGACCCTCCCGAGTATTAAAAAAATTCTTTGCAAGGGAATATTAAGAAGAAGAAAAATTAAAATAAAAAAAAAACAACGAAACGAACCACCGTAAAAACGCTTTGAGGTAGACCAAAAGAAAATACGTTTCATTAATAATTCAGTCCCGTACGGAACACCACGTTAATTTGCATAGGGCCATAACGCACTGTCTCGCACACTGTAACGCTGCATAACTCGGCCAATTGTCATTCCGTATTGGCGACTTTCAAAGGCCAGAAATTACGATGACATAACGCGTCTGCAGCACCTGGCCAATAGAATAGCTTCGGTCGAAGATAACAAAGGGATAGTCTTAGCGACAGAAAAGGATCCATTGAAAGAAATTCAAACTGCACGGATAGAAGGTCTTTGGGGGATTTACCAGCGGTACGAGTCTTACTGAGTAAAGTATGATAAAGACTGCATTTTATTATCCTCGCAATATTTTGTTATCCACTTTACGAGAAACATACGAACAAACGACACGTCTGTACAAATGTAAGAATTATGAATAGAGTTGATCGTTGCGATATACCACAAGGAACGAAAAATAGTACACCGATCCGACGACTCTTTCGGGAGTGCACGTGTAACGTGAAAGTGGTGCTATTTCGTAAAATAAGAAAATGATCTCAAAATTCAGCCTCACTGTCTTCATACTAAATAACGTTAATGACTGTACGAACGTACCGAGCATACAAATTCAGCTACGAATTGTTGAGGCTTGCGCAAGGAACTTACATAGCAATGCGCCAGGAATGTACCTGGAAATTCAGCCACGAATTTTTAAGGTGAATCGAAGAGGGGAAAATTTACGTTACGCTCGAAAACATTTCTTAAACTTGAAGGGGCTGTCACACCGCGAGTCTAAATTATGTCCCCTCCCCCCAAAAGAAAATCATACAGATGAAATGTAGTAAAATATCTACCGAATGAAAATTGCTTTGGGCTTAGTAGAGAGACTTTCCAAGTATACGTGTTGTGCCCTTTGTTCTTAAGGTAGCTTTCACGGAGCGACGGAATATCAATGCGAACGAAATGTCAGATCAAAAGTCAACGGGTCTTCGCCTACGAAAGGTTTGCCGAGCTTTGAAAGTTTTCTGTCTGTCTTAACTGCTATATGTATACATTCTATATATAATCTATATAAGAAGTATGTTTCTACTATGACGTCAGCTCAAAACTCGAAAAGCACTGAACGAATTTTGAAAAACTCTTTCGCTGACAGATAACTCTGATTTTACAGAATAACAGTCTACGCGTGATTACGACAGGTCGAAGAGGGGCTAAGGTGAAAAAAAAAAATGTCAAAAAAGTCGTAAGAACCGCGTGCGAAGTCGCGAGCAGAGAAGCTAGTTGTAAGCGTAAGACTAGAAAGATAGTAAAAAATAATTTTGTTGACTTACATTCTATATATAATCTACATAAGAAGTATGTTTCTACTATGGGCGTCAGCTCAAAACTCGAAAAGCACTGAACGAATTTTGAAAAACTCTTTCGCTGACGATTAACTCTGATTTTAAGGGATAACAGTCTACGCGTGATTACGACAGGTCGAAGAGGGGCTAAGGTGAAAAAAAAAAATGTCAAAAAAGTCGTAAGAACCGCGTGCGAAGTCGCGAACAGAGAAGCTATAGTTTCTCTGCTCGCGACTATCACTATAGTGATAAGTGTAACCCTGGAAAGATAGTAAAAAAATAATTTTGTTAACTTACCTTGGCCCCCTCCTCCTCCTCGTCCTCCTCAGGATTATAAGTCTCCGCGAAGACGCTCTTCCTCCTGGAGGCAAACCTGCCGACGGGTGGTTCTAAAAGGAGAAAACGAAAAAATTAAAAAAAGGATATACAAAGAAAATTTTAGTCAGAAAAATATTTCCTAATACAGGTCATTCATCTCCGTCTCCCCGCGTATCGAAAAAGTTGCCTCGATGCAACGGATTGTCATCCAGGTTGCATTGATCAAATTTGCACAAAGCGCAATCAAAAGGCAAACGCGCTCGAAGTTCCACGTGCAACGATGGAACTCTGGTAGGATGCAGCTTTTAGAAAAACCAGACCCAAGTATCGTTTACCGTATACTGTGCAGTCTATGCAAATCTTCAACAAACTGCAACAGGCCTTCCTTATGCAGCGGATGCATTCGATGTTTCGCGCAAGTATCGATGTTTGACATTTGACCTCTCGGGTGAATTTTTCTAAACGATTCTCCGTCACGAGCAATGGTTCGGCAAAATTTTTCGTACTTTGCAAACTAGCCGCAAGCGACCTGACGAGATGCAAAAATATATAGATTTTAAGATCCTCATGCATTCCCGAGCTTTACCGGAAGTATCCTAGATATTCCCGGCAATCGTGCAACTTCCGCGTCTTCGGATTTTTCGTCTAGATGCGATTTAGCATCGAGTACGCTGAAAATCTAAACATGCGATTGCGTTTTATTCCCTATCCTTTCTAAGGTAGTCACTTTTTGAACGCTAACGAGCGCCTTGTTCCCACCTATCCCAACGTAAAGAACGGGACACTCGTGCATTTGAAAGGTGACTACTATAAAAATCCCAGGGATTAAAAGCACGCCTTGTGAAGCGCTTAAATACGCATTGGTTTTATCTACGTGAGGTAAACAAAAATAAAAAAAATAAATAAAATAAAAATGATTTTTCTTCTCCTATACACATATATTACCATCGTCCTCGTATTCCCAGACTCCCAGGACGATCTGTTTGTTAGTCGAAGTCGCGATCATGACTCCTCGACACTTGTTTCTTTTTTTTAAATTTCCAAATCACTCCGTTAACTTGTTACTCGCTTTCGGCGTAACTCCTGACCGACTCTAAGGTATCGCACTTTCAAGATAAGGTCCCGACGTCATATCGCGATTCCCGACGAGCCGAGAGAGTACACTCGAGCCTGCAAACACAGTGAACAGTTGCGCTCCTGCGCCAATGTGAATACGTAGGAACGGAAATTAAAAAGAAATCCTTCCCCCGTACAAAATTTATATTCCACACATAGTTTCGGACCGGATCGGTCATCGACGTACATAAATATCCTCGCCCCGGAAACGATTGACCATCGAAACCTGAATTCGACTAATTACAATTTTAATTTACCCGCCGTACACGTCCATTATACAAAGTAACGAAGTCAGCCGCGTCCCAGAAAAAAAAGTGGCCTTCGGTTCCATTAACGAAATTACAGCGAGGAAATAAAATACGTCTAAACAGCATGAAGTGGGAGAAGCCGAAAAAAAATATATATCTTAAACAAATAACGTCGTCGAGTAATCAAAGTCATTCCCGACCAATTAGTACGTGGAAGGCAGAAGAGAAAATCGCGTCCCAATGCCCCGAGCAGCGTGGTCGTTCCGTTAATAGAGTAAACGGAAGGTCAAAAGTACATCGACGGTCGCCCGGTGAAAGCAGCTCTCAACTCGAGATAATTATGCGTGGGCGTAAAGAGCGCGAGTCCGTCGCCGGTTGCGGAGGGAGCCTTAGGGCGACGACGAGGCACTTTCGGTATCGCCTAATTAGCCGATACGAATTTTTCATCAGGTTCACTGCTTGTTACGATTACGTAGCGCGTGAAGCAAATTCCGTCGCAGAGACGCCCGAACGCCGACGTACCGAGAGGATTCGGTAAAGACGCGAGGGCGTTCGAATAAATTTACGAACGACGGGTAAGTCGGACGTCACGGCACTTTTTTTTTAGTTTCACAGAAGAAGACAAAAAATTTCATTCCTCGCACCCGAACGCGCGCGCCATACCTTAGTCGAAAGAGCGACTAAGCCTGTGGTGGTTACGAAATGCTCAACTTTGATAACGTTCGGCGCTGAGCGAGAGCCCGCGAAACTTCAAAACCGAATACGAAACCGATGCACCCAAGGCATCTTGGGTAAGAAGAATCGTGGGGGGGAAAACAAAGTTTCGTTAAATTTCTTTCACGTTATATTTAAGCAGGCTCTACCACCTGTTCTACAGTGTGTCAACTATATGACTAGCGGCGAGTACGCCGGATAGGTTACCACCACTGCGGGGATGACGTGAAGAGGGTTGGCGGTGCTGACGAACCAGGTTTACCAGGGTTGGTTGGGATTAGAGGACGGTTGGGGATGTCACACAGAGAGGAGACTAGGAACGGCCGAACGAGCAGAAAACGGCGAGGACGAGGCGTCACCAGAGTGTGGCCTAATGGTGGATCAAACAAAGAGACGCGAGTAGAGGGTTGTGCGTATATATATATATATATATATACATGTACATGTACATATTATATATACATATAATAGATACACACTATACCCAAGAGTTTGCCGTCCTATGTTACAGGCTGTACCCACAAAGTAACTACACCGAGTAGCAATCCGTAGGATGAATCTAAATAGAAACTACCCTAACTGAAATTTTTATTCGGTCTTCAGCCAAATAATTGAGAAATTTATTTTTCGCAGATGGTTTGTTGACAAAGGGAGAAACGATTCCGTTTCAAAGCCGTACCGATCCGAGGATTCAGGTTTTGTTTAGTCTCTATTCACCCCTGATAGCTTTTATATGGACCAATGAGAATTCGGGATTGCTAAGATTTACTACTAGGCTCGAATCTTGGCCACGTGTTCAAAATTTCCGACATTTAATTATGCGAATCCCCATGCACGATTACCGTACGTAAGTGCGTACTGAACTTGCGGCGAATTTACATGCAGGAACCTCATTTAGGAGCAGTGCGTCATGGACTGTGTGTTCCTGGTAAATTATCAGGGGACCCTCGAAGGTCTTACGCAGGATTCAATGTGTATCCTCGGGGGATTAGTTCGGGTTGGGTTGGATTATTGAGACGTCACGGACGACCGGGCGCAGTATAGCGAGATTGACCCACCGGAAAGGCTACCCTAGCGACGTCTTAAATGTCAGGTTAGACTTGGCCGGGAGGTAAGAGCGCGAAGAGTAAACAGTTCGTGCCTGGAAACAGACACTAAGGGCCGGGGGAATCGAATTCCGGACGCCTAAGACCTTTCGTCGAGTTCCGTCGTCGTGTGTAGCCCTTCAGTTTTATTAACGTAATTCGCGCGCGCAGCGCTCTATCGTACAGTCAAGAGAGTACGACGGAACTTTTCGGTACTACTGAAAAACTTTCCTTCGGTCCGTAGAAGGCAGAAATTTAATAGTCGTGCCAATGCGAAAACCTTGAAGAACCTTATCCAATCTGCATAAAAGTGACGTTGACAGTTAAAATGATCGAATAAACTATTTTTCCCTTATAAATCCTGACGATCTTTTTTCATTCTCGACAAACGCTCCCATCAATCACGACCTTTAACGTGCTATACTGCTGGGTATAATGGGACTTGCAATGACTACACTACAGTCGATTCGCTCGAAACGACCTCTGCTACGTTTACTATCTAAATTGCATTTTCAACTTAGCGACTCGGACGGCCACAAAGGGACCCTAAACCTGAATCAACAATCGAATTCACTACTCGAATAATCCCCAGTATCGTTCCGTATCGATAAGTACAATAGCCAGGAAGTTACACAGAGCAGTCTGATAAATGAGAAATACAAACGTACATTGCTGTCAGCAAGCAAAAAGATTTCAGTAAGAATAATTGCCAAGAAAAATCCGAGTAACTTCCATACAATTATAAAAGATGTAGCGAGAGAAGTAATTTAAGAAAATAATTAATTTTGCTTTTTCTTAAATTAAACAACTTTCCTGATCTCTCGTTACTTCCATCGTAACGCAGCCAGACCCCGCTGGTAGTTCCACGTTAAATCGGGTACACGGAATACGTGGTAATCGAATGCACGTCTATATACGTGCAGCTCGACCCTGGCGAAGCCGCCGTTGGCTATTGAGAATTCCAGAAACGGTATAAAGGCTCGAGAAACATGATCGAGCCGACTGCACGGCCTCCTAGGTTCTATATTCGTAACACTGGCCAAGCGCATTGGCACGTACTCGGTCGCGGTGCGAGTGTCCGAGTGCAGCAGTCGACGAATGGGAAGCAGCGGCGACGAGTAAAATGTATCGCGACGCCCGGGCGTCGTTGTAAAAAGGTGAACGATGGCCGTAAGCCAATGCAGCCACGAGACCCTGTCTCATACCGTGAATTCAATTACCATCGGGACTTTAACGGGATCCCACGTATTTGACGCGGGAAATTCAAAAAGAGATTTGACAGACGGATTTTGGCCACCTGTGCAGCCGCAAGGATTTACCAAGCGTCAGATACCTCGTTCGTAATAATTATTTGACCCCGATAACAATGATTTTTCTATGTAATCTTCGCTCTCGAATTTCTTTTTAATTCCCTCCACAGATAATACAAATAATTCACGAACACTTCGTTCCGTCCAAACTTAGGTTATGGGACGAACTCCCCGTGTATGCAGATACGCGCACGCTATTTATACGTCACGTACAAACGTAATTCAGAGAATTTTCACTATTATATTAATAGCAGACACGCTGACTCTAAACGAATAAAACTTGAGATATTGGAATACGAGCCAACTGGCAACTACTTTTAGCGTCTTTGACGAGACGCTCGTACTTCGGGGGTTCGGAAGTCAGTGGTAATTGTAGGTGGGTCGGTAAATTAGGTTTCTACAGCTCGGAAAAGAATCACTCTGACAATGAGAGTAACGCGCTGTGGACGGGTGATTGGGTAATTTCTATAAATATAACATTAGGTACTAACAATAATTAGCCTGAATATATTCAAAGCCATTAACCGAGGGCCGTTAGATTTATTTTCGGCAAATACAAAAATTCAAACTGACCGTCTACCGTCTAACTACTACTACCATCTCGTCTCTGCTTTCCACAGGCAACGTAAACAGTATCAAGGGAGACGAATGAAATATTGAATTTATTCGGTGAATCGAGCCAGATTCGACTATTCAGAATTTAAGCTCGAAACGCATATATACATATATAGTACCGTGTATTTAAATCCACTGAATGTAGTACCACGTCATTTCGCGTACATTGTACGGAAAAAGTCGCACTTGCCCGATGACAATATTTACATTGTATTCGCGGAAGGAGAGAACACGGGTAGCTGCACTTACGTAATACGACGATTAATAAAAGAAATATTAAGTCATCCAATTAAATTGGCACTCGGAACAGCTGATTTTTTATATTCTGAAAATTCGAAAATTCCGGTATCCATCGCTGCCGTTTAATTGACCGCGCGTCAGTCTACACCTAGTTTTATTTTACCGATCCACATACCACCGATTACTCAATACCGTAATGTCCGGTAGGCCAAGAATTTTGCGAAGTCGTTAGCAAACCCGTATGCCGATTTGTATTCGGCCGAGAATCCTTTGCGATTGCCGTAACAGTATTCCATTGCCAATGGTTTTTAACCGAAGATACCGCGTGCCAAATCAATGAAAAATCATTTATTACCTTGTGCCAAAAAAATAATTGGCAATGAAAAATTTTCTCATGGATTTTTCAATTTTGAAAAAAAAAATTAAAAATAAGATTTAAAAAATTTTTCTTTCCCTCTATCAGATACGCGTCGACTGGTACGTACAAAGGCAATTGGGTAATAGAAACTTGTTTCAAGTAATTGACCAATCGCCCGATTCGTCCATCACGTGAATATATTCTTATTGACAAATCTGTAGCAATCGCTGCCAATGACCAAACGTTAATACGTATTTGAACGACTTACCCAATTCTTTGTGTAATAAAAATAGACGAAGAATGCACGTAAATAAATAAATAAATAAAAAATAAATTATATCGACATTTCAAGTATCAGATAACGAAGTTAAGCACAAACCATCGCTATATACGTATACCTATGTTCTTTTATAAATTCCTGTATATAATAATGATTCGGGTAATGATTCGGCCTGAGTCAACATATATATGTCTACATGTCTATTATCCAATAGCAAACGCCCATTACGACCGAAATAATATTAACAGCACGTACAAGAAAGTGCGAGGAGAACTCGAACAAGGTAGCAGTGGCGAACGTAGTCATTAGAAAGCACCGTAAATCAAATGTAGCCAACGAAAACGATCTGCAGGTATGCTATGACGCCACGCACGACGTACAAGTAAATCATTGAGAAGCTACGGGACAGCTGCACTCGAGTAAGAAAAAAAAGAAAAAAATTTTCTAAATTAATAAATGCGAAATTGACCTAATGTCGTTTAACTCTGAGATCGAATGGTCGGAAACACTTGGCAATGGAATTTGCGAATATTGACGCGTCGTCGTGCGAATTTCGTGACTGGAATATAGGACGGAGTGACGTCAGACCCACTATTCCGTAAGGTAATAAAATTTTTTATTAACGACAATAAAGTTTAAAATTTTACCTTCCCGTGAACGCGCGTTCAATAAAAAATCAAATTTCGGCCAGGATACGTTAGGTAAAAATTTTTTGGAATTTGACAAATTTTCGAAAATTTACCCCCGGTGCACTTTCACTTTGAGCGACGAGAATGCTCGAAGCTTTCGCGCCGAAAATACTTAACCCGAAAATTATTGTCTGCTTGCAAGTTTCTCCGTCGGGGTCGATCACTTTCGACATCGTCGATTGCGCGACTCGAGTCAAATTTTTCTCCTTCGCGGCAGCTTCGCCGTGCATACAAACAAGGCGGGCACCAGAAGTAGCGACGGAAAGCTTTTGAGTATTTAATTCACTTGCACTTTGTGTCTATTGACGAGCTTATTTTCAGTAGAAAATGTTACACGGGGCGAACGCCCGGGAAGCGGCGATAAATCTGACTTTTAGGTGAGAAAACAGAACGAATGGGTTTACTTTGAGGAATATTTAATCGTCCTGCACGGCCTCGTCTTCGTGATCTGATTAAAGGAGCTTTTGCATCAACGTGCAAGCTGGAGAATTTCTCGTTCGCGATTATCACTCTTATCCGCGGATCACTTACGAACCGTGAAGAATAATAAATAAATAAAATAAATATTGAGCAAATTATAGAATAATCTGTCTAATCTGAAAAGCCTGTCGTATGGAATCAGCACACGTTAAATATATGCGTAGAAAACGTATACGTAATTTGATTAGGAGTGATAAGATATAGAATGTCTGTTCTATAATTATTTCCTTCCTCCTGCTATTCACTGCTAGTAGAAGGAAGTTATCAGCTGATAACTCCAAATTCAAATGTTTCACAAATAACGTTCTGGACCTACCGTTAATGCTTTATTACGTTTACGGTTTCCTTTCTCGTACATAAATATTTCTCTTATAGTCTATGCTGAAGTTTTAAGTTAACGTAATATCACTTTTCGCTCAAGCCTTGAACTTTGAACTTTTCCAGGTACACGGATAACCTAAAAATAATTTACGATTCGCATGTATCCTTAAGAGCTTAATGGACCGTGAGATAATGAAAGAACGAGAAATTAAGCAGCGCTTTACTAAATTGCATTTATTTTTCTCTCTCACGCTAGATTATTATTGCTATTCCTATATAATTGTCTGTTATACCGTGTGACCGTTTCCATCATAAGTAAGAAGTGTACGCTAAAGTAGCCCGACAAATTGCCATCCGCGTAAGACGAGGTTAGAAAAAAGTGCTCTCTCCTCATTTTCCGTGTAATTTCAATAAGGAGTAAAGTCTTAAATTTCCGTGCAAATTTTTCAACTCCCGTCAAGTCCATTACGTTACGCGAGAAAAGATAAACGTTCGTTTAGGTGCGTCGAAGTTTTTTTTGGCTTCTACCCTATTACTACACTTACGAAAAAGCAATTTCAACGAATATTGGACGTACTGATTAGCGAAAAATCCCTGCGATATTTCACTACGAGGTGTAAACAATTGAGTAAAAAAAGAGACAAATTTCGCATTTTTTAATTTTCATATACCGCCTATGAATGCGAATTAGATACACTCATAAGGATTAACCTCAAAATGGGTTATGCTGGGTCCAGGGAAGCCCGTGACTTTTTTCATCTTTCACGTTTTCTAAAAGCTTTCCGTTTTTGTATGACTACAAAAATATTTCTCGAAATTAATATTTCCCATGCACTTTCAAATTTGTATCTGGCGTATAAAAAAAAAACATTAAAATCCAAAGCCAACAGCTAAAATGGCAGTCTAAGGTAGTACTGGATCTGCTAAACCCTTGGATAGGCAATTAATGTAAACAAAAAGTATGATAAGAGTTCTAGGATTAATGTGCGTAAGAAAGAGAGAGTGAGAGAGAGAGAGAGGGGGACAGATGTATCAGTGATAAAAATCGCAAGCAGATGTCATTTGATAAATGGACGAGGCAGCAGATCAAATTTGAAATGATTATTGTATAATTCTAATATCTCAATTAAAAATAATTATTGTTTCTCTTGATTACTCTTCAATCTTATTAATTTTAAATTAAGAAATGTTAACAAACGTCCTCCTTTGACTTTCTTGTTCTAGGTCGGCCACGTTTTACAGCGCGTCAGCCCTATACTTTCTCAGTTGTTTGTTCAAGCACTAATTTGAATCAATCAAGCAATCCACTTCTGAGCCTCACATGATGACTACTATATACTGTACGATGAGACTGAACGTGAGTAAATGATGAAAGACCGACAACCTTAATATTATCATTTGATTTTAATCATAGAACATCAATGAATGACAGTGCAACCAGCCTTGCAATAATAAACCTATATACATATACCAAGTTCACTTAAGTTTCATGAAATAAATATAACTGAACAATACGAATATCGTAATTTCTAATATATCCTGTTAGAAAAGTCAATGAAAAATCATGATAAGCCTCAGCAAAATTTACAATTAGCAATGGTATTTTCCCAAGGAGAATCAAATACCAATAATGGTAGATAAATTAAAATCCAGTGAAAAACTTTATTGTTTCAATGCGTCCACGGGTCCTACGAATAAATTAATGAAGGTGCGCCAATGTCTACGAAACTATGCAACTTGATAGAAATAAACGGAGCCAAAAGAGTGCATAAAGAAAAAAGGGATATCAAAATGCCTAGTTCCTTAATGCATTTGCATTTCGACATCGTGTTTTAAGTTATTATAATAATGCATCTTGACATGCAACTTTTTGTGTACCAAAGTTGACTCTGTGTTTGACATTTATTACAAGACTGCATCGACTATAGCAGCTATGTCGGAGAGAAAATATCGAGCGGAGATTCCGCAGGAGCTTTGCTGCTCTCGTGTAGGTATGTACGAGAAAGCCTACCGATCGATAATTCTAAATGCTAGGAATAGGAAGTGGTTTGCCGGCAAAGTAAAAATTTCTTAAGATTTCCGCAAGATTATAGGAAAATACTGGATTGACGTACAGTAAAAGCACTTAAAAAATATTGGATTATTTTAAATTGTTGTAAGAGAGATAAACGGATTTGAAATTAGTGGTGTAATAAACATAATGCCACGTGCGAACGTTATACTACTGTGTATCTACATTTAAATTAATAAATACATTTTATATAATGCAAACAGGTTCCACGTGAACGCATGAAAATTTATATGATTTTAGTAACTCGAAAAATAGGGACATGACTCGGTACCTAAGGTGAACGTACTTTTTTAAAATAAAAAACAGAGGGGGAAATTCCAGAGGTAAGCGTAAAAATAAAAATCTAATATAAACACTTTTAGATAGATTGGCGTCCAGCCAAATCGACGCTGAACTAGTCCTTCTTTTATATTGAATAAGATCTCAAGACCCTTTAGTCACCTAACCTTCTTTCCTTTCTTTAATAACAGTGGTAGTTATAATTATTTAATTATTTGTATTTTAATAAGCTGCTCCTCAATAAAGTTTGCTCTGGAACAAGATAAGTAGTGACAATCTGATTGCATGGGCCCATTTTCTCAAATAATGTTGTACATAATATTGTGCACCTTAATGCCATATTTGTTGGCAGTTTGTAAATTAATAGACAATAGATAACCAAAGTTATTTGGAAATGACTTGTTGGTGAATACGACTATCTACACTGTAGGCAGATGTGCTTGAACATGACTTATTAATTTATATTACTTAGAACTTTAAGAAGTTGATAGAGAAACTTTATTTGTTGTCACAGAAGCTCAAACTTCCTAATCAGGTATAACATTATGTCTCAAAATGGTTGTAAGCTTTATTTTATCACTTATGACAGTGATAATAGAAAATTATAATGTTAACAAGATAATTGTGATAATGCAAGATTCTATTTTCTTGTATGTTTTTTTCATTAAAATTTTGAAGCACGCGAATGTGTTTACCAAATTAATTCTCTATAATGTGAGAAAAACAAACTTATTTATTTCTTATCTCATTCATGTATGCTATCTATTATGACTCTTATGAGATGCTTTTTTATATTTATCCTGCTAAAACATATGTACGATAAACTGCTTCAATAAAGGAATAAAATATGTGTCAAGAATGTTATCACAAGTTTTACAATTACTCAATGGCTGCGATTAAAACTATGACATTGTTCAAAGTTTTATAAGAAAATTGAAATAAACAGTACATCAAATCGCTTTTGCATTTTGATGAGATTCTCTATTGTATGTTACTGAATTTGTAACTAGAACATTAATTGATAATTTATTAAACAATAAATTAAACACATGAAATTGGTGAAACTATGCTCCAAAATTGGTTTCACAAAATCCAATTAATCTCTTTCCATTTTCCTGATTGTATATTCGCATCACTAAAACTTTAGTAGCTGAAAATATTTTAAGTTAGCATTATCTAATGTAATATACAAAACAAAAATAAAATTACCTACAGAAGAATCAAAGAGTATAACGAACTCCCGTTATACTAACTAAAATAATCAAAAGTAGAATGCAAAAACTCACCTTCCTCAACAGATTCATCCGGAGTAGATGAACAAGTTTGCGCATTGGACTGTATCAGCTGGGTTTGACGAGTCTCTCGGAGTCTCGTGAAGAAATCCACAGCATAATCGACAATATCTCCAGGTTGCTCCAGGAGATAACTAATGGTGAATTCAAGTAGGATATCCCTCAGGTCATCCGGCACCGTAATCTTGCCAGCGTTGCGTTGACAGCTCATCTTGCCCGGGCTGAATTTTAAACCATAAAAACTGCCTGGGCAACACAATGTCCTATGGAGGTGCCAATCGACCTCCTCTAGAGCGTGAGTCCACCAGGAAGCCCGCGTTCGAGCTATCCCCGTGGATTTTGGAGTTCACTTGTCAAATTCCACGAGAAGATAAGCGCGACGAGACCGACGACTAGAAGGACGTTCCCTACTCTTTCCGTGCTCAGGGAAGTTTTCGCGTTTTGCCAACACCAGATTGGCTCTCGAGTCACTCGTACACCTTAGTCACCTGCTATTACGCGAATACTTGGAATTATAAGAAATATCGCCTCAGCTGAGATCACTTTTTACACATAAAACAGCAGGAGCCGCACCGTCCCGTATCGAAAGGTGTTACTTTAAATCCGTCTGCTGGCAAAGATGGCGACCATCTCACGGTACGACTCTTGATTTGACTAGAAAGTCCGTGAGGTGCATACCGCGCCTACCGCCGATGCGAGAGGCCACTTGAAAATATAACCCGAATATACGAAATACTGTGAGCGAGAATAGCGAAACTGATGACGAACTGTTCTCATCGATCGCAACGCTTCTGTCTTTTTCACTTTCGCGCTCTCTCTCTTTCTCACTTTACGTTCTACAGTGCGTTTAATACTTTTCGATTTCTACCGGATATTGCGGCCGGAAAGTCGATTGGTTGTTGCCTCTTATGTCCTACCAATGGAAATTCAGTAAATGCTTCTTTCCTTGAACATTTCACTTTTGTTTCTATACGGCGCCACGGGTTTGTAGGGTTTGTTTCTTCTTGAACGTAGAGCGCGGGCGCTATCGGATAAAACTTTGATTCGACGTTACTTCTATTGCTTGATAAACACTATTTACAAGAGAACATTAATCGATTTTATTGTTTATAAGATAATGCTTTATTTATAGAAAAAATATACATTGGTGCGTACCCAAAGTCGTGTTGCTTGTAAATTTTCATTCTTAATTTATCAATGTGTCTATACAATGCATTGTATTAGCTATTTAGATCAATTTCTTAGGGATACTGCGAATTTCAGGGTACCAACAATTGACGATGAATTAAGCATCTGTAGACCAATGCAGATAAAGGTTTAAGAGTGATATGAGTCGATGTCGCATCTATTTTTTTGTCTATATTTCGATCGCGAATTTTGCATACCAATAACGTAGAAAGTGCGGAGTCGATATCAGTGATTATTTTATGATATTTTACTTGTTTTAGATTTCTTAATCCGAATATCAATTATACATTGAGATGATCTAAAGCAATACAATAACAGATATTTGTTTATATTACTACTGATTTTCATGGTGTTATACTGATAAAATTATCGACACTAAACGGACACCGAAAATCTCTCAATGTTGAATGGGTCACGCAACTGCTGTGATGGAATGATAATGAAAAATATGTATCTTGAAAAATAATTGTATATTGACATTTGCCACTCTCGAACTTTTTTCTCGATGCAGAGATATTAAATTCATCTTGAAATCTTAGCGCTCCGGAAATCATAGTACTGCCATTCAAATAGCTTCACTTTACTTTTCTACTTGGAGAGAATGCACGTGGCAGTAGTAACTTTTCAAATATATTTTCTATTTATGTATATAATTGCTTAATTACACCAACTAATTATGAAATTTTATCACATGTCTTGCTTCAAAATACTAATGTTTTCATCGATATTGTTTTAAAATATTTCCATCGAAAATAGCCTATCAAAAATAGCAGTCAATTATGTAAGATTCATATTTGTAATGTAAATGAAATTGAAGGGAAGTGACAAGAATCCTAATATAGGTAACGCGAAGATAAAGGAACTGGTTTTGCCATTGTCAAGAGACTATGTCAAAACTTTGACGGCATTGTTTACTTGACAGCACGAAACATTAATCGAGGTGAAACTGCAGTTGCTGAGTCGGAAAAATTGGGTTTCAAACCCCGCTTTCTTCAGCTTGATATTTGCTCTGATACTAGTGTCAATGCATTTAAAGATTTATTAAAGAAACCATATAATAAACTAGATCTATTAGTAAATAATTCAGCTATTAAGGTAAGGGATGGACATACTTCTGGAAAACAAATACATACTTTTTTTTGAGCTCCATTAAGGAACTATTTAGTTTTCAAGCAGAAGAGACTCTGCATTTAAATTACTTTAGCTTACGCAGGATCTGTGTTGCTTTGTATCCACTACTAAAACATCATGCACGTGTAGTCAATATATCTAATAGTTCTGGACATCTTTCAAGATTGCACTAATGAGCTACTGCTAATATTGAACAATTATACTATATCATTTAGTCAACGAATTCGTACTTGCTTTGTAACATACACGTGAAGAAACTAATTCCAAATCTATGTAAAATATGGACATCATGTAAAGAACAAAATCAATCACAATACTTTTATATTAAATCATATATTTCATACACAGTGTAAGAATTATAAGAATTGGCCTATTCAACATAATTTAAAATTAAAATACAAGTTACTGAAGTCATTGCAGTTGTATTACACATTATTTTCATATTATAATTTAAAAATGTCCCATTTAATTGTGTTCCTGTATGATGTATACAAATTCATCTCCATTCTACAGAACAATTATTCTTGGTACAGAAAATAAATAATTCTGCTTCGAAAAGAAAGTCTTCATTATTACCTCATGCTTTACATATTCTCTAATTCAGGTGGTATTGGAATTTTTTTCTCTGTCGCAAATTTCATCAATGCTTCATATTTTGAATGCCAAGAATCTATTTCTTCTCGCATTTTATTATTATCATCTTGCATTACTTCCATGTCATGGTACTCTTGACTCTTCTCCGTCTCAAGTTCATCTTTATGCTCAATTCGTTTAACACGACAACTTGCAGCATATCCTCTATTTTTGAGAGTTCTCCTTCTCTGTTTCATTCCAACAATCTGTTCTCGTGTTAGACCACGTAGTTTCAATTGGCGATTCAGATCACGTACTGATATAGATACCAGCTCATCATCACTAATATCTAAACAAGGACCTGGTGACAGTGGATCCTGTATGAAAGAATGGTGTAACTTAATATATTATTTTCAGATACATTTAAAACAAACGTTAACGTTAAAACAAAATTGTATCTAATCATATTAACTAAAGCATATAAGATTAATCATTCTGTAATCCACAAAAATTATACGCCTAAATCAATACGTGTTAATGAAGTCTCAAGTATTTCTTAAAACAAATAAATAGTATGGTAATAAAGATGTATTCTTTGTTGCACTTAGAATACAGTCTAATAGACTTACCATATTTAGAACAAGTATCCTCTAATATATATTAAGTAACACTGCAACGAAATAAATATATCAGCTGATTTCCTTGCTTATCTTTTATGCTATTCGTCCCTTCCTTGATATTTTCCCAAATATTTGGCATTGTCATTCTATGATTCGAGTTCTCGGCTACAAGCATCTAATAAGGCATGTAAAATCATTTCTAAAAACATTTCCTACGAATCACTGCGCTTCAAAGTGGGACATGTGTTCTTATCTCTCTTATCTTTATATTTTTTTAAATCCGGAGTATCCACCTGTTTGAAGACACGCACAAAAGGGAAAATATATAATTATTTCATTCACATAAGACACATTCGAGAATATCTATATCAAGTTTTAAGAGAAGTCTGTAAAGATGACACGTATTGCAGTGGTATGTATTATACGTATTTTCTGATTATTCGATATTAGGAGTCTTTTCTAAAATTAACTGTCAATACTACCAGTATCGTCATATCTCTGTTTCCCTGGATGAAATTGAGTGGGACAAGAATACCTGCAGATAGTTCTAGAATATACCTAAGGATATACATGAAATCTATGCATAATATATTTTTAACTAAACAGCGCTTTGGCTATAATCATTTATGCAAATAACAATTATAACTGTAGATTATGATGCAATTAATACTCGGTGTAATTATTAAAATTAAATTACTATAATTTAAGTAGATTATTGCATAGTTACTATTGAAAATTATAGTTTCCTGAATTTTTATAACAAATTTAGGTAACTGGAGGAAACAAGGGAATTGGTTTCTGTATTGTTAAACAGCTATGCCAAAAATTCAATGGGATAGTTTACTTAACTGCTCGTAATACTAATCTTGGTCAAGCTGCAGTTACTGAATTAGAGAAACTTGGTCTGAAACCTCATTTTCATCAACTTGATGTTAGTGATGATGATAGTGTCAACGTATTTAAAGAGTATTTAAGCAAAACGTATAACAGATTGGATATACTAATTAACAACGCTGCTATAGCTTTCAAGGTATTTTATATTTTTTATATCAATATCATATAACTTCCCAAACCATTTCATTTAGTCAACATTTAATCATAGATGGATGCTACCGATCCATTTGGTATCCAAGCAGAGGAAACATTAAAAATAAATTACTTTGGTTTGAAGAAGGTTTGCAATGCATTATATCCACTGCTTAAGCCTCATGCCAGAGTGGTACATCTGTCCAGTGGAGCTGGGCATCTGTCAAAAATACCTGGTGCATCACTTAGAGCAAAACTATCTGACCCAGATTTGACAGAAGAAGATCTTGATAAACTTATGAATGACTTCATAAGGTAAGATTACATTTTTTTCTGTATAGTAACAGGGTAACTAAGTATAATAAGTGCAGAATAATGATATATATACTCTATTTAATAGTTCAGCAAAGGCAGGTACGCATGTAGAAGCTGGTTGGCCACAATCAGCTTATTCTGTCAGTAAAGTGGGAGTATCTACATTAACCAGAATTCACCAGAAATTATTTGACAAAGATGCTCGAGAAGATCTTGTAGTAAACAGTGTTCATCCTGGTTTTGTGGATACTGATATGACAAGTCATGGCCGTTCTAGTGCCTTCAGTCGTTACAGAGCATCCATGATGACCCCTGATAGGGGTGCACAGGCTCCAGTATATCTTGCATTATTGCCACCCAATACAGATATAAAAGGAAAATATATCTGGTCTGATAATACTGTTGTTGATTGGTTGGCTGAGTCAACACCACCTTTGTAAGATTTACTTGATATACCTCAGAACAGACAATATTTTGTAATTACCAGCAAATCGACATACAATTAATACGAAGAAATATTATTCCCTGCACTTTACAAATGATGTATTTTTTAATGCCAGTATACAAATTATTTGCTGCATTAAGAAATGATTTGTTCTTCTACAATTATGAATAAATGTTTTGTAAATTTGCACCCTCTCTATAATGTTTGTAAATTAGAACAAATTGCAACTGAATGATAGTATTAAGAGTACAGCGTATGTAATGAAGTTTCACAATTTACAGAGCTTCATACTAGATATCTATGTAAAATAAAAATAAACGTTAAATTGACCTCTATACCGATTATCAAAATTATATATCACGTATCTATGCAGTGTTATAGAATTAGATCAAATTTGCCACTGAACATAATGATTATACTTAAAATAAGTACAAACTTCTATTGACAATAGTAATGTTTCATCATAATTACATAAATGCAATGAAAAGTTATATCAATATACATTTTTGCCTAAATATAATTCCAGTCTCAGTCTTAACGAAACATTAAATTCTGCTCCAATGTTTAGTTGTAATCAAATATTCTTACATATTCTCTAATTCAGGTGGGATTGGAATTTTCTTTTCTGCTGCAAATTTTTTAAGTGCTTGATATTTTGAATGCCAGGAATCAATTTCTTCGCGCATTCTATTGTTATCTTCTTGCATAGTTTCCATATCACGATACTCTTGAGTCTTCTCTGATTCAAGTTCGTCTTTCTGCTCAATCCTTTTGATACGACAACTAGCAGCATAGCCTCGATTTTTCAGTGTTCTTCTGCGTTGTTTCATGCGAACAATTTCTTCACGTGTCAAACCACGCAATTTCAGTTGCCTGTTTAGATCACGTACAGATATTGAGACAAGTTCATCGTCACTAATATCCAGGCATGGACCAGGCGAAAGAGGATCCTGTCATTGAATATCTATTTTGTACTTTTTGTTATTACTAAATAAATACTAATGACAGTGCAATTATAATTTATTTTTTTTACTCTCTTCACTAAAGCACTCCATCATTCGTGCACTTGAAGTTATAGATACAATTAGGGCAAAATAATCGTTACTAGCATCAAGGTTCAAAAAATTATTCTAGCCATATTGTGCTATTTAAGCATAGATTATAATAACAACTACTGAATTATCCATGATTATACAAGCATGGAACAATTTTGTATAGTAGAAATAACATTACAAAACTGTTTACTATGCTCAAGAAGGAACTCACCATTCTCATTAATGAAGTTTTCAACTCTATATTATATATATCTGAAAAAATATTTTACGTAACGGCACCCAGAAATAAATATTCAAGCTTTTTCTTGCACAGAACTTCTTTCATAAATTCCCATTCTAGCGTAATTTTCCAAAAATTTTGCTTCGTCATTCTACGATTCAACGCACCGACGAGAGACATTACGAAACTTACGATCATTTTCAAAAACATTATTCCCTTAAGGGCTATTTACAATTACGGCACAGATGGCACAGCCATACCAAAAATCAGTACGAAGATTTCCAATGGGCCTGTTTTTCGTGGCCTCACTTTTATTCTGGTCTCGACGCGCTACCTTAGCGGAGGGCCCTCGAAGCAGTTCCATGTTTCTGATTGGTCAAATGAATTCATGTGTTCCTCAAGATCCACGATTTTAAACTGGGTGAACACTCAAATAGGGAGACTTGTATCCACTTTTTTTACTGCATATTACATAAACCGTAATAAGGAGGTAGTCAATTGTGCCGATGTTAATAATCTTAATATCCATAAGAAGCTTTGGAAATAATAGAGTAAGCAAATAAAATTTTAAACGAACCCTCGAACGTGAGTAACTACAGAAATATAAGTTTCCTAAGTCACATGCCGTACTGACTCAGTGGCACCCGTGCTTGCTAGTGGATTAACGTCCGAGAGTCTGAGGTTCGAAACTCACGCCTCATCCTTTTTTCCTTAATTATCAACTATACTTATTGGTTCACCTAATTAACTTAAGATTCATTAAATACATGATCATATTATACTACAAATATTGTATTATATTACATCGTATACATGCAATAAATTGGTATATGAATTAGCGTATGTTTCTTCTTTCCCACAAGCTGCCTGTGACAGACACTAACGGCATGCTGTTTTATTTTCCAATAACATAAAAAATATTCAGACGGGTAAAAAGGCATTATGAAAAATGAGCAGAAACAAAATTGCACTTATTAATCTCGGGGATAAAATTATGAGAATATAAAAATGAACCAATTATTTTGTATGGAGAGATGAAACAATTAATGTATCTGGTTAGGGATTTCTTTTTCATTCATTTTTTATCATTCAAGGCTACGTAAAGACAACATTTTTAATACATCGAATTATCAGAATATTATGTCGAGGTAGAATTTTAATTCTGAATTATTTTTTACATCTGAACATACTGATAATTCGAGATATTAAAAATAAAATTATCTGTCCGTAGGCTTGAATAAAAAAGATTTACTAAATTGAATCAGGCTACCAAAAAGGTATGAAACTAAAAATTTCTAAGCAGATACACTATTTGTCTCATCTCACTATACATACATATAAAATAATTGTGTGCTTTCCAACATCCTTGATTACGTTGGTACATTACCATCTGGGATAAAACCAATAACGTAACTATGATACTATAGCAGAGTCCGCGACTTTATTAAATAATATTTTGTGTGGCTAAAGATATCGTACAGAGTTCAATAATTCATCTATTATTTATAATAATGAAATCGTTCGCTCAGGTTTAAAGAGATCGACCGTAGATAGTTTATCATCCGGATCGCCAGCTATTATTTTCATCGCTATTCTTTTAGCCAATTCAGGATTCTTTCTCATTTCGTGAAAAAGCCATTCCAGTGAGACACTGTAAACAGATAAGAATGATTATTAGAAAAATACAATAATCATCATTGGGTTTTTTTTTTTCTTATCCGCAAATTCCAGTCATCCTATCGTTAAAACTTTTAAATTATTTAGGAATTCAAATTTTCAACATCCAGAAACGGACCTCTGGGGAAATTTCTGCAACAACGAAAGAATTATCTTCTCGTTTTTATCCTGTGACGTGATTCCTTCATATGGGCTTTCACGTTTTCCAAAGCCAATGGCGGTCGAGAGAAATTCCGGCTTGAAGCCGCGAATCTCACGCGGCTTTGTGCGATGCTTTACGAAGTGGGAATATCCACTTGACGATCCGCTTCTTTCCGCAAGAAGAAGTCCTGCGAATCCCAGCACGAGGATAATTCGCAGTCGCATGTTGATTCTGAAAATGGTCGTGTCCTAAAATCATTGAAAACTTGATGACTATATGTAAAATGCGTCGTTGAAATCAGATATTTATACTAAGAAATATAAATAAATAATTCTGTTGTAATTATTGCTTATCTTAAAACTACAATGGTAATCAATATTATAATAGTTGAACTTCTCTCGTGATTTTTATTATACGATTATTTATTAAATTTTCGAGATAAACCAAATTATTGAATACTTCTAATATTAATTTTATTATCGTTCTCGAGTTTTGTAGATCTTCTTAAATGGTTATATTTATCCATAAAATTATTATTTTATACTCACGTAGGCGTTTGAGAAATTTCATTTGACTTACGGTACAATCAATGTCAATATGACGTGGTTGACTTATTAAGGGAACATACCAATTATTGTCCATATGTCAGCTACAATATTAAAAGTTGAATCATTCTTTATATATACAAACACTCACGTTAAAAATAAAGTGGGAAATTGAATTGGTAGATTCAATATCTATAATAAAATAACGAATATTTTTCTACCGTTAGTTTCAATAATCAGAAAAATGTACAGTAACGAAATTCTAGTTGATTCCTTACCTGTGGAAGTATCTTTCTCTTTCTACCCATTTTCAGAAAACGATTCTGATTTAAGCATAAGGATCACTAATTAACCCATCTAAAAAAAGCCACTTTAATTCTTTTTACACAACCTCAAGAAAATATAATTTTTGTTTTCCAACCGTAGATAAATTTATATATATTTAAGCAGTCACATAGTTTTACATCATTTATTTAAAAAAAATGGTCTACCAAGAGAATAAAATTACGACACCTCTAATAATACATTTTCGAAGACAATGCAAGTAGCGAATGGATCTCCGATAGCGACGTCGTCTGTTTTTGTATATGCTGGCCGCCGAAGACGACGCCGTTACCGGCGTTCGGGCGCGTCCTCGTGCCGCCTACCGCTGCTGTAACCGATGCCATAATTCATTGACATAAGGGAACAAGCATTGCCGCCTATGAACGCCGATCGACGCCGTGCCTCTGCAAGCACCATCTTTTGCCGCCTTTAAGCCGCCGATTGTCGTTGGGCGCTGCAAGCCACCACGGCGAGTGTCACCTGTTGCCGCCTATTCTGAAATCCGACGCCGACGGACGCCGCCCGCTCATATTTGCCGTTAACTTACGCCGACCGCCGGTGAACGCCGTTTGCCGCCAATGCGTAGAAAATTCTGCTGCATTGTCTCGTATTCTGTCAATGTTGAAATTTATGGTCATTCAAATATACACAATGAATTATCGTAATGAATATATGTATAACACTTCTCTTCTTTAAATTCTATTGTTTTCCTACAACTTTCTTGCTTATTACCATTTTTTAAAGATAAATAATGAAAAATGGTTGCGAATCTTTCGTCCTCACATAATCGTTTTCATATTGTTTAATGCCAATATATTTTTAATAAATATTCGATAGGCTTGGAAATACTAAAAAATCGTAGATTATTGTTCTTTAATAACAGGGTAAAGAAGATATATTGTTATACAGATTATTAACGTCTTTATGCAAAGACATAATTTCATAGAGTATTTACGACAATGAAGTTGAAAATAATGCTTTTGGTATTTCAAAAATTCATAGAGTTTGGAATATCAATTTCATATCGTTTCAATGGTATCTAAAATGGTCATTCAAGTGGACAATCGTTGCGACTGCGCCTTTATAAACCAATGGGCTTTTTACCTTTATGGCACAATTCGACACCATCTTTGACATATTAGGTCTGTTCTCGTTACCTACACTTTCTGCACTTTTGAAAAAGTGCAGATTCTCATTGGTTACTTATAAATATTATCCTATTAGAATTTGTACTTTTTGAAAAGTGCAGAAAATTTAGGTAACGAGACAGACCTTATTTCCATAAATCTACTGTGTATTAAATATAATTCTGTTAGAACCAACCAATAGGGCCTTAATCAAAGTGGTCGAACTGTGTTGATTTCTTCTGTAAAAGAAAGACGCCCGATGAAAAGCGATCTTAAGTGTTAATTTCATTGGACGTTCCTTCTTTACATCACTGTATAGTCCAGCACAGTCGTCGGCCATATGATTTGGAGGCCCGACTAATTTTGACAGATCTGTCGAAGGTTCATAACATTGAAACAAAGAAAACGTCATGTACTCTTTTAAGTGATAATCATTTTAAACATAAGAGGAAGTTTAGAGAATAAAAATGGGCGACTTCTTAGCTCCCCATAATGCTTGCGGACAGAACCTTCTGCGAATCGTTTCTCGTGGAAATGCCATTCTTGCTGAATTAATGCGATTAAAAGATTACGTACCGCCAGTCTTTAGGTTACTACACATTTCATTATGAATATATATTTTACTAGACTCATATGTATGAAATATTTGTAAAGAATTTTTATATTGTGATACTTTGATTCTCTGGAACGTTTATACACATTTGCATGTTCATTTTATACTTCAATTTATTGTAATTGTTTAATTGGTGCAACAATAATGTTTAGTTTATTTTATTTTATAGTATAATATCCGTTTTACAGATTTGACAGTAAACAATTCGATCAGAAATATGGATCTGTAATTATAGACTTTGCATACTTTAAAGCCTGTGCTACATATGAACAAAAAATTGAAAATGATTCTGTAAGTAGAAACATGCAGCACTGTGTTTCCAAATAGATTTATCATAGGTGTGTGTGTGTATATATATATATATATATATATATTTCAGGCATTGCAAGCTCTTGACGAA